CCCCCCCCCCTCCCTCCAGTGAGAATAAAATATAATGGAAGTTCAAGAAATAAAGAGCGGCATGCTCGATCTCGACGAGAGTACTGTAACATTTTACAAGATTCGCACAATCCGCAAAATCTTTATTCACTATAGATATTTCTTTATAAAATGATCGTCTGGAACAGAACTCATGACCTCTGTGTGTGTGTGTGTGTGTGTGTGTGTGTGTGTGTGTGTGTGTGTGTCCGCAACTATACATTCGTATCATACCGATTACGACTCTAAAAGTAATATTAGCACATAGCAAAAATACCGGGAGTCAAAAGTGTCTCGTTAATATCGTATTAAGAAGAGGGCATTAGAAAGCCCACACATATAGATATACATCTCCGTAGATACGATCTAAAAATAAAACTATAATCATAGGTTTCATATAAAATGTGCGATAGGCACATAGGCTGACGCGCAGGTGTATTACACCGACCCTTAGGAAAATAAAGGTCAATAAAGATAGGGCATTCGGAGCAATGGTCGACCGTCTCCGTAATTCGCAAGATCCACTCCAAACAGAAAGAGGATCGTGTTTAAAGTGGCTCTTACAAATTATCTCGATTTTGTTCGCTCGTTCCCCGAACGTCTGAAATATTGATCAGAATGTAATTGCACGTTTCGCTCTCGATGCAGCGCGCTTAAGTCTACAGGATGAACGTTTGCTCAAACATCCCGTGACCGATCGCAAAACGTAACGTCGAAGAAAACTATACATAAACGATTCCTATCGTATGTAGAATAATTAACTTTTGATATGATGTAAATTTGGCATAAATGCTTGTGTAACAAACGGGTTACATAATCACATCGTACAACACTACACCCTGTGTCAAAATCATGATAACTCGAGTGAATAAAGGGGTCCCTGTGAGAGGAAACGTACAGACATAAGACGTACGATAAACGAGCACACCTCCCGAACGCTGCCGAAGAAAAAATGCAAAAAGGAAAACAGGCGAGCGAGTTTTAATTGAGTGGGACGAGCTGCAGTCAATGCAACGGCTCGTGTTGTATCATCGACACGCAACGTTTGTTTTACGCAGAGTATACACCTACCGCCATCACTTATTTATACATTGCCAATGATGTAGACCGAGCTCTTTATATATCTACTCAACCTTTTGTGTCGCGAAAGGTCAGAGCTATTTTCTATATCCGCGTGAATTTAGTAAAACGCGCGTAGAATCCGTCGGCAGAATTTTCCGTGTGCGCGCTGTGTGTTATCACATCGACGGGCGAAAACGCGCGCGCGCGCGGTAATCAATTTCACGTGTCATTTTCCGATCGGATTCCGCATCACGCGAGAATTTTTCAGCAGTGTGTCAACGATATGTCATAACAAAATCAAACCTATGTAAATCGTTATCCATATAAATATAAATAATATACAATATATTTATATATATATACATATATATATATATATATATATATTATGCGCATATATATATATATGTGTGTGTCAACTGTTATAAATAATAATACAACTCCTATTCACGATATACATATATTCGCCACATTTTCTCCTCGTCTTACATATTACCGTGATAAATAGCTTACTATTAAAGTCATTATCATTTGAACAATACGTCAACACACTCTCGCGCGAGAATAACAAATCGAAGAGTGATATCTTCCAACACTCGTCACATCGATAATGCACGATCGATCAACGTTTTCTCCGTTTTACTTTACAAATAAGAAAATTCTCATCCGAATCCGACTCGCCCTCATCACTTCGGCGCGATCAAACGACGTTCAATCAAAACGCGCTCCAATCGATCCACCCAGTCCCGCTCGTGCTGTTCGTCGTAATTGACACTGTCAGACGCGTTTTTCGAATTTTACCTCTCCGCACCTCTCGGCTGCACTCCGCGTCGAAACGCCATTAATAAGATACACAATACGTCTCTCGCGGAAGCGAGAGACACTGGCAAACTTTTTGGCACGAAAAAAAGTAAATCTATCTCGTTCCGTGAGTATATAACTTTGTATAGGCCGTGCGATCGTTCCTCGTATCTTCGAGGAGCTACTGCTTTACGTATAGGGAGTGTCTCGGAAGTGAGGCAAGGCGGTTATGACGGCGAAGATGAGCTACGCTAAAAAATAGGTTCGCATATGTGGTTCCTATATTGTCTCTATTCGTCCACTATATGTATATATATATATATATATATATATATATATATATATATATATATATATATATATATCTACTATATGCCATCGCGACCGACGCGATGGCACAGGATGACGTATGGTGACGCGAGGACTACGGGACAGTAGTGAATGCGAAATGACGGTTGTACTTTCAACGAGTTTCCCGATGAGACCGATGATTTGGCGCGATCGAAGGATGAGCGCGTCGTAACAAATATTTTTTTTTTTTTCTTCTAACATCGCAGAGTACTTTGTACTTACTCCCTGTGCGTACATAATACTTGTCATTTAAGAAATTTCGTATCATTAAACATCGTCGCTGCCTACAAACTGCAAATAGATGCGCTACGTGTGTGATTTTGGTTTCAATTGGACCGCCAGTGCGCGGCGGTCGATGGGCCGCGACGGATTTACGCGAAAAGTCGCCGCCGTCTTCGGCCCGTGCTTCAACAATGTGCTAAGATTCCCGGGCCATTCGCCGCGGCCATTTTGATCGATGACGTCAGAAGAACGAGGAAAGGTGCGCCAAAAATTTCTGCAAAATACGTCGAAATGAGAAGACACATCCAAGAAACGACACTTGCGATCGATTAAGCACATCTCTACTTGGAATACTTTTCTTTTGCTCTAAAAATTAACGCAAACTATAACCTTCCTTTTCAACTTGTATTTTCTCATTATTTTTTGTCACGTTAATTTCACGATTATTTATTGATTGCTAGCAAAAGGAAAATGTTCATAGCATTTGAGTACTTATCTATTAGCAAGCGTTATACTTTGGACATATCTTTTTATTTCGCTGTATTTTGTAAAAATTTTGACCACGCATTCCTCGCTTCTGACATCATAAATCAAGATGGCGAGTAGTCAAGGGTCTTAAAAACTTTAACTAAGGGTGAATTATATTTTTTTTCTTTTTTGGCATTCGTGTATATCTCTTATCGTAGACTAATTTTATACTGACTAGACGCATTGATACGTTTTAATTTGGCATGAAGCGTATAAGTGAAATTCACAAACAGCATCTTCCGCGTCTCTTTCTCTCTTTTTCTCTACGGGAAGAGGACTCGAAGCGATTTTGCTACGAAACACAGAGGGAAGGGAGACGTATCTTCTCTTTCTTTCCTCGAAATACTATGAAATATACATATATATTTTTATAGCTGCCGCGTCTCCTTTTTTTTTTAAAGAAATTCTATATCTTCGAGAGACCAAAGTCTCCTCCATCGTTTCTCTTTGTTAATTTGGTCGTCCCGTTTAATTCGATTCAACGTTAACATCTTGACCGGAACGACCGCGACTCATAAATCATCGTCATAACGTAAAAACAATCAACAACATTCCTAGGTCAGATCACAAATAATGGATATTATCTCTAATACGCGGCACTATCGTTCTTCGTCGCAATATCCACAATGCTGTAGATAGGAACAAACGGAGAACCGCAAATCTACGGTGAAATGGTATCTACAGTGCTGTAGAAAGTTTGTACAACGTTGCAATATATTGCGTGATGATAACGAGTATATAAAGTGATCATTTCGCCAAATAACATTATTATACTGCGAGAAAACGTATGGGGCCACGATAAACGAGGCGAGTCTCTCTCTCTCTCTCTCTCTCTCTCTCTCTCTCTCTCTCTCTCTCTCTCTCTGTCTTTTTCTCTCATGCGCTTCGCACACACAGACTTCCACGCGCAGTACCAAGTAACGCAAATAATATCGGGTATCGTTAATACAAGTGCAATATAGCGCAACACGTACACATACACTTTTTAACCCCTAATCTCTCCATTCGACAAATATTAATAAAGAATTGTCCAATCGTACGTTTCCACGTCAGAAATCGGCATTTATAGATCCCATGTAGAGATTACATGTTTCCCTGACTAATCGTATTTCCAATCAAGTGCCATCGATCAGTTCGAAAAACACAACTCTCGTACATCGCACTAATCTGTCGTTGAAACGAAATAGGCTCTCTATTATAAATAAAACAGCATCTGCTCGCCGTGTCAAGATCAGCCGTCGTCGAAAGAAACTATGAAATAGAGAGATACATGGACACGCGGTGAAATAGAGTGAGAAAACGAAGGCCGAGTCGGGAGAAGATCCAAAGAGGAGTGCGATTTAACCCTTCAATTGCTCTCGCCTGATGAACGTCACCGCTTCAGACGACGTCGGACAATTTCCGTCACGCGCCTGCACAAAGAGCCGATAAAAATAGCGAGATCGCTATGGTAGCGCGCATCCCTGCGTTACATGTAACACCAGTTACATATCGGTTGTTCGAGGGGTGACAGCGAAAGAATGAAATGTCGCCCAGAATACAAACGTCCAAGGGAGGCAGGGAGACGTCGTGCCGACTTCTCTTCGAGAGCTTTCCCAAGGAAGAGCGTCTCTAACTCCGCGCCAGTGTTCAAACGTTCATAGCGTAGTACACCGTATTCGGCGTGCTGTTGGTCGGAGTGGATATGAGACTGGCGTTGGGGTCGACGTAAGAGTTGGACATCAGCAGGACGTGCGGCGCCGAGTTGGGCGTCCCGGACTGCTGGAAGTCCCGGGAGGGCAAACTGGCTGCTCCCTCAGGTGCTCCGCGTTCCGTCAACGCGCACGTGGTGTTGATGGCACGTGGCAGCTGCATTACCGTCGGCGAGGATATGACCGTCGACGACGACGTCGAGCAGGCGAGCGAGGTGACGGCCGCGGGCTGAGCACCGCTGTTGACGGCCATGCCAAAGGATGTTCCTAGGTTCGGCTCGCAGCTCTTGTTGTTGGCTAACATCCCGGTACACTTCAGAGAAGTGGCAGTGGCGGTGGCGGACGAAGACGAAGACGACGACAGTGCCGACGCCGACGCCGAGGATGACGATGAAGATGACGAAGAGGATGACGACGAAGAGGACGATGAGAACGACGACGCCGCGGCCGCGACGGCGATCGTCTGCGTCTGTACGTCCGTGGCGGCGGCGGCAGCGGCTGCTGCTGCTGCTGCTGCTGCTGCAGCGGCTGCTGCGGCGGTAGTCACGCCGCTACGCCCCAGATGCGCCTGGTACAACGGATAGCCATCCTGATTGCTGGCCGGTACACACCTGGAGGGCGCGATCACCGTGTAGGAAGGAGGCGACTGCTGCGTCGCCATTGGCACGCGGTACGACGTCATCTCATGGTGATGCTGATGTTGATGCTGATGTTGGTGCTGGTGTTGGTGCTGATGGTGATGGAATTGCATTGGGTGCGGAACCCCCGAATGCGGGACCGGCGAGAACGCCATGTTGGGCGGCCGAAAGTCCTCGGGCTGGTGGGGATGTATGTGCAGGTGTAAGGCTTGTTGGTTGCTCTGCAACGGCAATGAGTTCGGACTTGACACGCCGCCGGTGGCGAGCGGAGGCGGTGGCGGCGGAGACGGTATGGGCGGGGACGTGTTCAAATTGGAATGCGACGTGGCGGAACGATTCGTGGTATAATAGAGCGCCTGTTGCTGGCTGGTCTTGCCCAGTCGAGGATACGGGTACCGCTCGATGTGGCTGGCGTAGTTGGGTGAGGAGTGTGGCGGTAGGATACGCTGTATGTTCTGATACGTAGGATCGGACATGCCGCTGTACGGCACGAAGTACATGGTGCGGTAACACTTGGTGTTGACCGGCACCGCCCCGCTCGGCAGCATGTTGCAGTGGTAATTGGCGATCGTCACCGCCGGGTTGCGACGTTGCATCTTGGACAAGGTGTTGGTGTAGATCGCGCCGGCGATGTCGTCGCCACCACCGGCGATGCGCAGCATCCGCGTGCTGGTCAGCTGCTGCTGCTCCTGGTAATAGTGATGGCCGTTCCTGTGCTCGGCGTATAGGTGCGCCGTCGGGCCGCCGTCGTTGGATGGCGTTCTGACGAACTGCCGCGGGATTGCGCTGTCCAGATAAGTCGCATGCTCGGAGATACCCTGCACATTCGCCGTGACCGCCGTGCTTTCCGCGATAGTCTGGTATATGTCGTCGATCTGCCGCTGCATCGTGTTTATCCGATTGATCGTGTTCGTGTCTCTCTCGAAACTGCCCATCGTGGCGTATGTGTCCGCAGGGGTGGGGACCGTTTCGTCCCCGTCGCCGGCCAACAGGGACTTGGCGTCGACCTTGTCGCCGTTTATGTCGCAGTACATCGGCCATATCGATTGCGAGCTGGACCTCGCCTCGTGGAAATTGTTGGGCGCTCCAGCGCATGGTCGCGGTCGGTGAGCAGCGACGGTCTCATTCGCCGTCTCGTACTGCTGCTTGATACCTGTCACCGAAGGTCGCCGGTTGAAGCCGTAGTCGTTGAGCTCGTCGTCCTCGTCGTCCTCCTCCTCGTCCGCCTGCGCGTCTCTACCGCCTCCGTCGTTGCTCTTGACGCCCTTGCTCTCGTAGTTCTCATTGATCGTGTTCACTGCCTTGTCCTCCGAGTGGTAGCCGTTGATGAAGGAGTAACGCTCCTCCGTGTCGTTGTAGCGACGTTTGATCCGTTCCATCCTCGACTTGTCCTGCTCCACGAACGCTAGCAGCTCGTCGGTGGTGTTGTCACCGATGTCGGGTCGATTGCCTATCGGCGTACACTTGGTCACGTCCGGCTGACCGGCGTACTTTCTTTCGTCGCCGTTTAAGACAGCCTCTATGTCCTCCAGACTATACGACGAGTCCGAGTTATAGCCGATGGACTCGCGGTTCGCGGACGCCAATATCCTGGACTCGCTGCGGTAATAATCGTCCTGATCAGCATTGCTGATGGCCACGCAAGAGAGCGGCGCGAGGCTGGCCAACAGCTGCCTACGCACGTCCGAATTCACTTTTGTCAACGGGTTCTTCGACTGGCACTCCTTGGTGAGGATATTCCTGCCGCCAGGCCCGATACCGAGGTCCGGCAGATTCGGCTGGACGTTCTTCTTGTGTGCGAACAGATCCGTGATCTTCCTGTAGGTGGACTGATTCGGCGGATTGTCTGTTACCAGCATCGGCATGCCCATCGCGCTGTGGCCGTGCGTGGTTGCGGACGACGCCATCGTGCTCGCTGTCGTGGTCGTCGCCGTGGTCGTCGCTGTCAAAGAGCCCGATCTCGTCGACACCATCGTTAGAGTGGCAGTGGTTTCCGTCGAGGCCGCGCTCGCCGACAACAACTCGCTTATAGGCCGTTCCTCGCCCAACGGCGACGTCCGTATCGGCAGATCGCCGCTGTACTTGGCGTCACTCGCGGAGTTGGCGTTATCGGAACTATCGGTCGTGTCCACGCTCTCGTCCTCTTGATCGACGCACGTGAGCTGTCGGATCCGCTCCTCCAGCGAGAGATTCTTCGGCCGCAAGTTTTTCTTGCGCGAGATCGTGTTGTACTTGCCGATCAGACTCCGTCGCAGCGTGTTGCGCTCGATCGATCTCTTGATCGAGCTGGACTCGCATTCCGGCGACTCGTAGGAGCCGCCGGGGATCGCCGACTTCTTCACCGCGTCGAACAGTCTTAAACTCTCGGCGGTAATCAGAAACTTTTGCGCCTCGTCGCAGGCGTCCTGGGAATGTTCCGCGCAAGTTGCCGAGGTCGCTTTGTTGACCGGCGCCGGCGGTGGTGAGATAAACTTCGGGTTAGGAAAAAGTTGTCTCACTGCGGAATTTGGCTTCAGGCTGTTACTGGCGAGGGACACGTTGCCGAGCTTGAACATGAGGGACAGCTCTTTCGCGTCCTGCTCGTTTCGCGGTGGTGGTTGCTGTTGCTGCTGCTGCTGCTGTTGCTGCTGTTCACCCGACGCCGTTTGATCGCTGATGCGTTCCGCTTCTTCCGTCGTCTCTCTTTTGTCGTTGGCTGGATTTTTGGCGTTCGCGTCAGCGTCACGATTCTCTGTGACGCCCGGCTCGTTAGGTCGCACGGCGCTGAACTGCGCCACATTCTCGTGAACGACCGGGCCGCTCGTCGCCGGACAAAGCGCCGGATTAAAACCGTTATCCTTCGGCACGTCGCAGGTATTCTTCTCTTTATCCATATCGGATCGCCCGAAGCAATCCTTCCGCTCCTCCTCGCTAATTTCCCGCACGATACGCCGCTCCGTCACGGTTGTCATCGTTATTGTCTCCACGAGATAACGATGGTGCGAATCTGCGAACAAGATTATACCGTACGCTTGAGTCGCGAGCGAGGGAAACGGAGAGATGCGCCGCGAACAAGATAATCGGACTTTCGAACATTCTCGCGAGGAATACGCGAGATGACGTTACGATATAAGTTATAAATGTAAGTTTCACAATATTCTCCCAAAAATCACTAAGTGGATTAAGCTTATGCTAACTAAAATAAACGTTGTTTGATACATCCGGGGAATAAATAAGGCCTTGTTACGGGATAGTTTGCACAAATAAGTTTTCGCGAAGTCTTTAAGTGGTCTGAGGGAAAATGTACCAGGAAGAGACGCCCGGTGCTGCTTATCCAATCTTTCTTGTAAGTTTCTTTGGCAACCGTCTTGCACCGTATCCTTGCTATCCTGCGCGTTCTGCTCATTTCCATGATCCTGCGCTTGAGATTCGCACTCTGAAACACAAGAGGAGAGATTGGACTCTTGATTCCTCGGCTCGCACAGTTCTTACGATTTTATAAGTCAATATCCTTGGCGCAGTGTTTCAGCCGAAGAATCTATCTCTCTACCTTCCAGTCGCACAGAAGCCATTATTATTGCGACATATTTTACCGCGGACTACGAAATAGTTGCATCGATCGATTGTCAAAGCAACGAAACAATTTGAGAAATATACACAGAGAAAATATTGTAGTAGAAATTACAATGAAATTCTTGTAATCTTGAACCCTATTTATATAATAATTTATGCTATAATTTCAGTATAATCCAATTTTGCAAAAGATATTGTAAGAAGCATAATTTTAGTGTAATTTTTATTACAATATTTCCCCCGTATACGTTCTACTGTGCGAGTTATTCCACTTACTAGTAATCTTTGGATAATATATGATCTTCGCGGAATTTTGTGCTCCACAAGCTAGATCTGCCATTTTAACGAACATAAGAAATAGCGTCCGACACGGTTACCATTTCTCTACTACAGTATCTCGTTAGGAGTTTAAAGCAGTAAGGTTACAACTTTATCTGTTATCAGGTACGCGGTGTATCATGGTGACGTCTCGACAGAGATACGCAGTTGAAATGTACAGAGTGTGCCGGTAATTGTGTATTTTCGCTCGGTTGCACCAAGTTTAAGAATCTCAATGAAGGCACTTTACGCTTCGAAGAAAAATGTCATCAAGTGCCACTGGCCGGCGATATTTTCGGGACGTCGCGCTCAGAAGTTTTAAATTGAAGTTCCCCGCTGCGAGATAAATGGAAATTACACGACCCGCCCGATATCTCAATACAGCACACCCCCGAAAGCGCTTACGCGGCCTACAAGACAGAATGGGTTTAACGTGTCTGATCTAATGTAATATTGATCGCGCCAAGTCTACATGTACATAAACATTTACGTTTGTTAGCAAGTAGGGCAATGAGCGATGCGATATGGTAATAATATCTAGCGATTCTGGAACTTCTTCCCGATCACTAAGCTCTTGGTAAACGAATAGAACTTCGCGAAGCCTCGGAAATCTGCTAATTACGTCCATTATCCAGATCAATCGGAACACAGTTCATTCTTATTAAATTATACCATACTTAATTTTTATCAAATTAAAATACACGCGGCGTCCACCACAGAAACGGATGCAGAAGCCGAGATGAGAAAAGAAATCTTTCTGGAGTCTTGAGATACTCTCTTTGTAACGGAATTACGGTATCTCGAATGAAAATCTCTTGCTCCGTGTGAATATTACACAGAAAAAAAAGTTAGTATCCATTTAGGATTAATGTACTTAAATTAACAATCATTATTTCACATGTAAGCAATAACGATACATAATAATGTTAGAAGAATCTTAGAAAATCTTGAATTTCGACAATGTTACAATTTCATTGAATATTATAACAATCTCTCATAAGAAATACAATATGGTAGTTTTGATGGTAATTTTGAGATTGTAATTTTATTATAATATTTTCTTCGTTTAACTGTATGTGTTAATCTCATTTTGAGATTTACACATCAGAAATAAAGATTTCAAAATAAGGATATTCTTTTTTCTGTATGTATTGAAATCGAAAGGGGCAGATCGTCTCTCTTCTCATTAGGACAGTCGGCTGATGGCCATCGATATTAATGCACTTTCAAAGTCGCGCCATGTGCATGGCGCGATTGACAGCTTGCATAACTTCTGCAGTTTCTAGTCTAGCACACCCACTAATAATACGCTGACGTATATATTTTCCATTGTCGTGCGGTGGCTTCACGATATATCGCACCGTGCGTCTCGCGGAAGGATCTAACTGCGACATTTCTGGCTTAACGAATAGAAATATTTTTTATTTCGTTATGTCGCGGGAAGCGACGTTTCAGAAGTTACGCAAACCGAAAAACACGATTTTGCAGTTTCTACTCCGGTGTGATTCGTAAAAGTGACGCGGATTTCATCCAGAAAAATGACGAGGTACTCATAGACACGAGACACGAGACACTTTGTAAAAAACACGCGAATGTTGAGGACATATTTTATAATTTGCGGCTTTCTGAAATGTTATATCTCTTAACTAGCGTGTCACTCTTCAAGCGAGAGCGCGTGGCGAACGGTTAACGCGAAAACATCACGATGTCGTCTTTTATTTATTTTTCTCACGCATACGGACCGCAACCTGTTGCAAATTTGAAATACGCGAAGAATGAAGTGCCGACTCTGCTGGCTCTTATGACAGCAGCGTGATTCATCAAATTTGGTGCCCGCAATCAAATTTACTCTGTATACCTCACGTACACTGTACAACGTCCGATCTTTGTAAATGTTGTTTGTCGTGTATTTTTTTTCTCTTGGTCACGCTTTCAAATTTTACTTACAACTTTTCTTTCGTTTCTTTTTCCTTCTGTTTGCTTATTCTCGTCCTTCTTCCGTAAGCCCCGGAGAAATTCTGTGGACTTTAAAATTCGAGTCTACGACGCCTCGCGTAAGAAAATTCAACCCTGGCATGCTGCACCGTTTCGTGGCGTAAAACGCGAACCGTTTGGTTAGAAATATAAGTGTTCTTACCGAGTATCGGGGAAGTACCGGAGTTACGCTACGCCGCGCTTCCGGTGAACGTTGATACGCGAATAAACCTATACACCATATCTACATACATTCGTTCTGACTGCGACTCTATAAATCTAATCAAAGTTCCTAATCGATAAGCACGCAGATTACTATCTCGCATCGTTCTATGGAGATAATCGTTTATATTACTTCTCCCGAGTTACAATTTGCAATACGCCGCGCTTTACTATGAATTTATTTTACTTATCTATGACTATCTTGCACAAAACGAATGTTAAGAAGAAATGACGAAATGAACGAAGTGACGAAGAAACTAACAGAATAAAATTAATTTACACGACAAAGTTACTTCTATAATTCTATAAAACTATTTTCATTGTATGTATTGTATGTATTGTAAGTTTGCACACACATCAAGAACAAAAGTAGTTGAAAGTTTATTTGTAGGATATAAAATTTATCTTTGTGAAATAAAATTTATTTCTATAGAATAAAAGTTTATTTTTGTGAATAAACTTTATATATCTCCCACAAATAAATTTTCAAGTATCCCTTCTCACTGAGAAAAGAACACTTGAAAATTTATTTGTGGGATATAAAGTTTATTCGTAGAAATAAACCTTATCCCACAACTAAATTTTCAAATATTTTTTCTCAATGCAAGGACGTACATTAAAAAAGAAAACATTAGCGTTAACAAATTTCGATATATTTCATCTCAAATTGATACATGAACGAATCATGAATATTCATAAGAGCAGGGCCTCCCTTTTAAACGTCTTTCTTGGTATTCTAAAGAATGCGCATAAACATGCTTCTGTGTTCTTAAACGGCTTACCGACCGTGTACTAGGCTCATGAAAAACAATACCATTATTATATGCGCATCCTGTGTGAAGGGATATCGTGGGACTGTTTCTCAGTTATGTGTGAGAAAAGAGCCGAGCAACGATGCAATTCCTCTAATTTGCACCTTTCTATTAAAGCTGATAGATTCAGTTCTCGATACGTAGCATCATTACTTTCATCATGCGTGCCGGTATGGCGTAAAACATACGGATCATTAGCATATTATTCTCGATTATTGAATTACAGCCTAATAGGCGATATGCTATAAGTTTCCCAAACGTCTTTAAGCGTTCTTCCGACTTCATAAAAGAATACGATAATCTCGGATGATTCTTTCCAGAGAACATCGTATATTTGCGGTCTGCAGAACACCAATTCTTTCATGCTTTCGCGGATTATTAGATTATTTGCGAATTATTATGTTAATTTACGGTCGGCGTTCGTTATCAAAATAACGCGCTTTTCCAGATGAATAGAATAGTAATATGAATACAGTAAATATAAATATTTGTGAGGAGAAAAGCATTTTCAAAAAAATCATACAATATAAATAGCCATGGATAAATACACAATGAATGTAAGCTAATATGAGAACGTTTAACAAATATTTGCGATGTAATGAATAAGAAGAAATGTTTATTTAAATACAGTTTAAACTGTTAACAGTTTAAACAGTTTAACTGTTTATTTAAATTCTAATAATAAGTTAATACAATTTTATGAAAAAGATAATTTTTAACTTCGTTTCGTAAAGAGTAAAATAATAGAATGTCAGAGCGATGGAATAGTTTATTTTGTATAGAAAATTTAGATACTAGAAACTTAGATTCTGAAATACTTCAAGAGAAGCGAGTTTTCGATCTCAATGAAAATAACTTAGGGCCGATTTTTCAATGATAGTTTAAACTTAGATTTCAACTTAAACTCTGTTTAAACAAAACAAATACATTATTAGAATAGAATTTAAATTTGAATCCAAGTTTAAACTGCTTGATTGATAAATCGCCCCTTAAAGAAATAATTACTTTCCTAACACGTACTACATGCACAAATCGTAAATATTTGGGAACTATCAATTTTACAGCTATTGACCTTTCTCATTTTCGTTTTAGTTTCTCTAGCCGTGAGCCATCCTGAATACCCTCAAGTCTCATATGTTACGATACACCCCGTATATATATAACATAGAGGTTCCATACTCCATGATGAAGTTTCGGCGGCCCAACGAACAATGCCGCACCATTGAACATATTTCGAACGTCGAGAACTGACAATGAAAGGTTGTTGCGGTTAACAGATTCGAACTATTCATAGAGGTATCTACGCCTCTAATCCTCATACAAAGGAAACCAATTATACTCAATTCATTGGCTTTTCACCGACTTAAAATAATTTACATATTCACTTCTATCTTTGTATATTTGCCATAGTAATCTAAACCTATATAGTTTGTACGAGTGTCCCAATATCAGACAGAAAATTCTCATATCTTAGACACTAAGGACATCAAAAGTTAGAAAAAAAAATCATCTCATTTTTCCTTTGAATTTCGAATTAATTCCATAACCGTTCAGTTCGTATTATTTCTTCTTGTTTTTATTTAAAGAATATCCATTATTATTGTAGAGTTCTGTTATACTTTCCGTTAAACAAAATATTCCGAAAGAATTATTTTTGACGGATCGAATTGAGGCAAAATACAGTTCTGTATCAATCCCGTTGTAATTCAGAAGCGGAAAGATTTAATGTTGTGCGTGTTCCTTGCGAATTAAGTGAATATTTTACACGGTTGTTACATAGTAATAACGGACTGCATAGACTCTCTCTCTTTCTTCTTCTCTGATAAACGACGTGGCGCGTATCAAAAGTTTTCTCGACGTGCAACTTTCAAGCACGCGTTACGATGTGTAACGTCGTGTTAAGCTCTGCTTTACACAACCACTCGTTATAGAGTAGAACTTCTTCTCGCTGCAACAACAAAAGAACATTCGTCCACTCGGGACTACACTTCCGCGCCGCTTTGAATTCAGTCAGATATTTCACGTATTTTATTCCGCAACGATTTTAAGTATATTTTCTGGTATACGTGCTTAATGGTTAAATTTATCGTCACTAGAGTTAGTACATATTACATTTAATTACAAAAAATATCTGGTTCGTACTGTTTCTTATACCGAGAAATTGTGGGACGACGTCGTGACGTTTGTACCAGCACATCGCTGAGGAACTAATAGAGAAAATAACAGAATCTACAGTGCGGTAGAAGAGCTCACCCGTAGCCTGTTGCTGGTAGTAATTGCACTCAGTGCACGCGGCTGACGCACGACGTTGCTCCGTCTCGTTCGGGACCTCGTCGTTCGAACACACGTCTTTGTAACCCTCCGGCGGGCTGAGCGTTTCCTGCTGCTGTTGCTCATGCCGCGGCGGCGGCGGCGGTGGTGGCGGAACCACGGTTCCGTTCTCCTCCTGGGAATCCGTCTCCTTCGGCCGGCGTCCTTTCGCCACGTCCTCCGCGTCCACGTTCCCTCGCTCGTTCGCGTCCTTCCCTTCCACCGACGTCGTCGTCGCCGCCGTCGTCGCCGCCGTCGCCACCGCCGCCACCCTCTCTACCTTTCCATCGCTGTTCTTCTCCTCGTTTTCCTCCTCATCCTCCCGCTCCTCTTCTTCCTCCTCCTCTTCCTCCCCGTCCTCAGCCTCCTCCTCGTCCTCCTCTTCCTCCTCGTCTTCCTCGGAGCGCGACTCCTCGCGACCCTGCTGATTCTTTGCCCGACCACCACCGCGATGATCTCGCGAGGCGTTCTCGCAGACCGCCTGTTCTACTCCCCTTGCCAGCTCGCCGTATCTGCCGTTGCCGGTGCCGATGCCGAAGTGCAGATTCAATTCCGCCCGGCATTCCTTGCAATTGCCCAACCGCATGAACTCGTGCTCCTGGTAGCAGCAGTCGCAGTCCTCTTCATAGTCGGCGCAGCACTCCTCCTTGATCAGTATTATGTAGTCCGCCGCGAAGAACTCGTTCAACTTCTCGTTGATCACCACGCGATGTTTCTGCGACTTTGCCTTCGTCTGACCCGGCTTCTTCAGCAACGATTTGAGCGTCTTCGTCGCCGGTTCCGCCGGATGCTTGTTTCCGTGTTCCTTCATGATTGAGGCTTCTTTCCGTTCCTCTTTCTCTCTCCCTCCTCAATGCTCTCTTCTTTTTATTTCGCCCCTCTCTCTCCCTCTACTACTATTTACTTTCTCTCTCTTCCTGTTATTAACCGCACCGACATGTCAGACGTCCTTTCAACGGACACTTTCCTATGGTTCTTACAGGGTTCGCGCTGGGACAGCAATAAAGCGCTATTCTGTCTCCCTCCCCGTCTCTTCCTGCGTCAAGCTGTGTCTCTCTTGCTCCTGATCGTCCGTCCTTGCCACCACCTGTGCCTACGGCTTCCTACCTGTCCCTCTCGCTCGCGTTCCCACGGCGGCGGCGGCGGCGGCGGCGTACACTTTCTCGCGATATCCACCTGTCTATCTGCCGCCGCGGTTATCGTTCATTATCCGACAACCCCGTGGTCGCGCGGCCATCGACGTTTCGCACGCGCGCATATCCACGCACATTCGCGTCGCGTATCGCGCGTGACCAGGGACACGCGAATGCGGGTGGCGAAGTTAAGTGATCCTGCCGTCGAACAGCCGCAACATCCCTCTGCCGGTGGAGGGTGATCGATGAGCAACGCGGAAGTCACATGCTTCGACGACCTTCTCCCCTTCACCGCGGCGAACAATCTTCGATACGGTGCCGCCGCCGCCGTCGTCGTCGTCGTCGTCGTCGTCGTCAGTGCACGTGTTCCCTTGGCGAACGACGTGTCACTTGGCACGCGTTGCGTGCGCGAGGAAGTTAATCCGGCGAAGACCGTGCGCGTATCGATCGAGGCATGCTCAAGCTTTTCTTCATTTCGCGGATAATCACGCGTCTCGCCGATGGCGATGTTCTGGCGACGACGACTGCTCTCTCTCTCTCTCTCTCCCTCTCTTTCTCTCTCTCTCTCTCTCCCTCTCTCTTCCGCGCGCGCGACTTCGATGAGTCGATAAGGGAGACGAAGAACCAGAGGGAAGACCACGGCTCTCGTAGAAACTGATTACCTTGACGATGTCGACTCAAGGTTACTACGAGACGTCGCCGTTCGGCCACGATGTTCCATTGAGGACGATCGCGATGATCGCGCGCCGGGATGGCGAAGTCGCAGTCGCTGTGTTTGCGAATATATGAAAGTAATGAATGTACGAAAATGTAGAGGAAACGCGCGCTTCAAGCACGACGCGGCGCCGATGTCGCTTCACGGAGGACGATTTCCACGGCGGCGACGGCGGCGACGGCGTCGGCGGCGGTGAAGCGAGACCACGTCGCGCGGCGGATTCCAACGAGAGCCGAGTCCACGGTCGCTGTCACTCGGCTCGCAATTATCCCCGAGAGTTCCCCTCTCACCGAGTCCCCGTTTCGCACCTTTCACAAGAACGAATTATAACGTGCGCGCGTAAGCGCTCGACTCTCTCGCGACGTCCCCGTTTATCGATTTCGCGTGACGAATGCGAGAGACCGCCGACGCACGGCGACGCGACTCGGCGGGCGGTCGGTCGGCCCGCGACTCCCGTTGCACTGGACGTCGCGACCACCCCGAGAGGCTCTCTTGCCACTGGATCAGTCCGATCGGTAGTAACGTCGCGAGTTCATCCTCGGTCGGACGACCGCGCGCGGCCGTGGCCGCGCTCGCTTTCCCATCGTCGTCGACCTCCTCGTCGCCGTCGTTGACTTTCTCGTCGTGTAGCTCGCCTCGAGAGTCGTGGTGGCAGCAGCGGGAGGAGAGTCGTGAGCGAGACTAACAACAGGAGGATCAATGAAACGGAGCGAACTCGCTCGCTTTGACCGCACGACTCCTCTCGCGAGCGACGTCCGTCAACGTGCGTGTCGTCCGTGACGCGCCGACCGAGACTGCCGCCGCTACCGCCACCGCCACCGCCGTCTCCACCACCGCCACCTCCGTGTCGCTATCTCCCATGCCCCCGCTGATCGCACCGGCAACGACTTTCCATTCCAACGACGTCGCCCGACGTCGTCGTCGTCGTTGTTGTTGTTGGCTACCGTGAAATTCCCCGAGTACTCCTCACGCATGACGACGACGACGATGACGACGACGACGATGACGACGACGACGAAATGGGTCGAAACTCTCCGGAGAAAGAGAGAGAGAGAGAAAGCCGCTAATACTCCACTCGATTCGTTAATTCGTGCCCGTCTCACGTATCTTGCACTTGTCACGTCTCTCCCTCTTTTCTCTTCGCCTAGCGAATTCGCTAAAAGAAGCAAATTCGCGATTTGGCGAACGAACAACTTATCTTTTGTCAGGTTCAGTGCCTTTCGTAGACTTCGCTGCGGAAAACGTCGATTATTTCTTCCCGATTCCCAAGTTTGCTATCTTACAATACGCGTTTTTACTTATTTCGTAAAGAAAAGCTTGAAATCCTTCCTCACGAAATTTTACTCCTTTCCTCGCTTAAACTTTGCTGTCACATTTGTCCGAAATTGACGCTACGTGCAATTATCACATACTATTGCGTCGTGTAATTATTTTTTATACAAAGTGTTTGAACAAGAAAACCTGGAAAGTTGATTACAAGCATTTGAATTAGTAACTCTGCGGAACGGTTGTCTTCGAACATATACGCGCATACTTCCGTGTTTCAAGAACATTTCATTGAGCGAGTAATTTCTTACGTTTTCCCAGCTTACGATTTCACAATCGTTGATAATAGGATATCGTGTTATGTAACTATTCTTGCTCAGTCACAGTCTCAGAGAATCGCCTTTTACAATTGTTACATAGTCATGAATAATTATGTGTCGATACCTTTTCCGAGATGATATTACCGCCTTTTATAAATTTTTCAAGTATAACTCACTTTATATCGCTTGCATTTCTCGCTTACGAAAGTGATGAAATTACTATTTTCTTGCTTTTCCAGCGAACAAAATGAAAAACGGCTGTGACAATTGTACGGATAAATTGCAGAATATCCGTGTCAGCCTGTGAATTCTACATAAAAGATCCAGTACGCACGCTCCAATTAACTTAGTTTATGTTCCGCGGTCATCTCAATTGGATTATGTCATCCGACAGAGAGAAAAAAATTCATACTTGCATGTACGGCATGTATGGTATACGAGAGAGATCGTATTGGATTATAGGGTCGTCCGAATTCACTGAGCCGTACTCATGTGTGCCTGATAATAATATCAAAACTGACGATGACACTATCTCTACGATCACAAGAGATAAACCAGATCATAAAAAGTCAGAGGCTGCATTGTTGCAAAACTGACGACCGTTGACTCATATAATGGAACATTAAACAGTGGAACAACCTATGCATCAGAAAATAAAACATACGTACGAGATGTAATAATAATTACCAAATCGTTTCAGCGATTATAATTAAAAAATGGAAAAAGGATATGTATCCACATTGAGGAAGCAATTTATTAAAAAAAATTCACACTACCAATTTATTGTTAAAAACATCTTACATATTAAATAGCTGAAAACTTTGCAGTTTATCTTTTTGTTTACGGTATGGTGTCGTAACGAGTTTTCGCTTCCTGGAGTAGTAGAATACTTTTATGCGACTGTGAAACATTTCCTGCCCGATTGCGCAATTCGCCCTAAAAAATGTTACGAATTAACTTGCATCTATTATGGCAACACTGTCGGGGGTACGCATAAACTGGCGAATTATTATATTACAAATATCTTTATTCTTGTAATTCTGGAATCAAAAGTGACTCAAATATCAGCGAATACAAAAGAGAAAAATGTCAATTATGATAGAAATATACAAATATTCTTCCCGGCTAGTAATACATACACGCACATACACACGCACACACGCATCATGTGATATTCTCACAAGAATTCTCTCTCTCTGGCACTTATCAAATTAATCATTTTTACCCTTTACTTATATATTTTATGTGTAAAATGATTTGTAACGTTGGTACAAATCGCAACCAATTAGCCTAATTAACTCGATTTCTCTTAGCTTTCTATCGCACAGTAAATTTCTTTTATTACATATGTATTATAAAGAGTTGTCTGAAAGTCGATTTTTAGTAGCAGAAGCTATTGAGAAATGCGTCATTTTGCTAATCTTTTCAATTCTTCAAGAGTTTTATAAAAACTCCTTAATATATCTTCGATCTCTATCAAGAATAACACTATAACGTCGCTGTGACAAATTGCAATAGAAAATCAATGAAGATAAAAAACGATATAGAATAGATTTACTTTGTATGGACAAAACTTCTGAGAGGAATCAGAAACATTCAATATTTTCAACGTTATATTTAAATCATTCTGTTTTTTTCGATAGAGAAAAGGCGATGTGTTATATGTTATTGTTTCAGTATATATTATATAATTAAATTAAAATACTTTAAAAAGTATTTGAAATTTTTAATAGGATATGTAAGATATCAAGTCTTGAATAAGTCTCTACTTTCATGTTTATAATATCTAAATAAAAAAAATCTTTAAATGTATTTTCATAGATCTTTTTGTTTCTCACCACACTCCGAGAATATTCTCACCATATCCAAGAATATATATTTTATAATAACTTATGAAAAATAATCTTTACATAACTCTACATATAATTTTTACGAATTATATAAATCTATGAATCTACGGATTATGTCTCACTAAGTGTTAATAATGATAAAAATTAATAATGTGATAATAGAGAAATAAGAATAATGAAATAAAATTCTTAACTAAAAACAGAACTAAATTAGTTTAATCATCTTTAAGAAGATTTCATTTTTTTTATAGCACATTAGCTATATATATAATAACCGTACTTTTATCATTTATGTTCGATGAACTAGACAGTCATTATCAATACCTTTGAGTATAACCACTGCTGCAAAAGCTGAAATTGTGTTCTAATGAGATTACATGTAACTGAATCGTATGTAATGCATATAAATCACTAAGAAGATATTCAATTGCAATGTGTGGTGAAATATTAAACTAATAAAATATATTAATACGATTTGCTTTATATTGAGAATATATATCGATATGGCCATCAATAGAGATAAAGACTGTTTCATATCCACAGGTTATCGCTATATGCATCGACGTTAGAAAATATTTACCATATGCCTTAAAATTTAACAATTGTCACTATGAAATTTCTCGCATGCAGTGTGTATGAGAAAACTTACAGTCTTCATCACTGTAGGACTAACAGTTTTATAAAAAAGACCAAAGACCTCCTACAAAATGGTACACCTTCTTCTCCTAACAGGTTCTGGAGGCTCTAGAGCCGCTAGTATTGCTTCATCAAAAACATTCTTCAATCCTTTCTGAAAGATTAAGGAACCACTTAACAATATATCTAATAAAAATCATGAATTCATCTTATACATGTTTGCTTCGTACGTCAAATGCAAATTTAAAAATTATATTTGGATGTACATGTGTTGCTGCAAAAAATAATTAGATCTACATACATACACAAATTAGCTGCCAGTATATAATACCTGTGTAAGAGCGCTACATTCGACATATTTTACGGCTTTTAGTTCCTTAGCAAGCTTTTCTCCTTGTTCGCCCGAGATAGCCTTTTGCTTATTCTTTGCAAGCTTTTCAATTGTTGCTGCGTCATCTCGTAAATCAATTTGCGTGCCGACCAACAAAAATGGCGTCTTCTGACAATGATGCGTTATTTCCGGTACCCACTATATGTATAATAAAAATATTAAAGATCAAATATTTAATATTATCTTTATATTTCTGACCATGTCTAACACCAATATTCGGTAAATATAACATATAAGAAATGTAACAATAATGCTCTTAATTATGTCATACCTTTTCCTTAACATTTTCGAATGATGATGGTGATACAACTGAGAAACACACAAGAAATACATCAGTTTGTGGATAACTTAGTGGACGCAAACGATCATAATCTTCTTGACCTGTAAAATTCCATAATTTTTAAGTAAACTGTCCCTGTGATATATACAATTCTATTCTTTGTTATTTAAGAATTTAATGTATAGTGAATTTATCTTATTTTTTGTAAACAATTTTAAGGATTAATGACTATATTTACCTGCAGTATCAAATAATCCTAATGTGTATGGCTCACCGCCAATCATGACGGTGACTGCATAATTATCAAATACTGTTGGAACATATTCAGATGGAAATTTGTTTGTAGTATATGAGATTAATAAGCAAGTTTTACCAACTGCCCCATCTCCTACTACAACACATTTTATTGTCTGCATTTTGGGTACTGCCAGGTGTTATCTGTAAGAAAAACATATAGAAATGACAGGAGACTATTTTGTTATATTAATGGATATTCTATATATAATTTTATCAATATATTATTACTCATAATAAGTAGTAATTTTTTGCAGTTTTATACATTGATACAATTATTATAAATGTAATAAAATATATTCTATAACAAATGGAAATAAACTTATTATTCCTAGAATAATTTTTGTTTTTACAACACAAACAATACTTTTATAAACTAAATATAATTAAAACATAGAATAATTTTATTAGGAATGATAAGAATAATATATATTTCATAATTCTTTATTAAAAACAAAAGACTTAATGCTATTTGTTTTATATAAAAATTTCTTTTCGAAGTTACAAATATAATACATATTCATATATTTTCATATCAAATGATCAATGAACCATATCAAATTATGCTGTACATTATCATGACATTGTTATTTTAAGCTTCATAACATTCACATATAATTATTCAGAATTATATGTAGCTTTGAATAAGTTGCCTTTCTGACGGTGAATATTAATTCCTACGTTCAAATTAAATTCAATATAAATGCAAAATAAAGCAAACTAAGTTTTCATATTAATAAATCAATATAAGCATTGAACACATCGAAAATGTGTCAAGGCTGAAAAAAATAAATTAATAAAATAAAAATATATTAAGTTTTATATTACTTTATAAGTATATATAGTTATGTATTGCCTAGAATAAAGCGACGATTATATCAATACCGGCAAGCGCAAATTTATACTTAATTAAGCGAGGAATTTAATTAGCGCAATAACGACTGGCAGAGATAGATTATTGCATGCAAACCTCGTTCACGTATGAGAGTACTGCCTCAAGTATAGTTGTCGAATGAAGGGGCAAAGAATCGGCGCGCAAAAATCGGTTGTTACGTTGATTCGACAAATCACTGAAGCACCCGAATGTCCGGTTTTGCGTAAGCTTTGCGTATTACGTTAAATCTACTGAAAAAGAAGCGTGCAGCGTGCGGCAAGCTCCGTGCAAAGTGGCACACATGCATACTGGAGAATTGTTTTTGGAGTCGCCATTTTGATCGTTTATGTCAAATACATTATCTCGTACGGCGAAATTATGAGACCTGAGCACCTCGCGATGCACGTAAATTTACGATTTCCTCGGAATCTCGTATGTTAGAGAAGAGTTTTAACGCAGCCAAAAAAAGAAAATTTGAGTTAAACACTCACACGCAACTGGGCGTCGACACTGGAGAACGCTTTATCCTCACGAAGCTCTCGGTTTGTCTAGATGGACGTCACGCCGATAACACACCACATTTAAGGCTATCTTGCATAGATTTACGCACACATAAGATCATGTTTTCATAGAAGTCGAAAGGAAATATTTGTCGATAACAAATTTTTCCTATTGCCATAGACAAGAAAACACGAAAAATGACTCTTTTTGTAAGTTTACAGATTGAAAGAATCTATCTCGTAATATTAACATATATAATATTAACATGTAAAAGATGGTAAATGGTTACATAAAGTTATCTTAAATTGTATTTATCAAATTTTGGATTAAAACCAGTTTTTAATCTGTAAACGCAACAAAAAGATAAGGTTGAAAATTGTATGATCCTCATTTCTTATTTAATTCGATATATCTTAGCAGAAAACAGTGACAAAATTATAATCTTAATACGATTAGCAACTAAAGACTTAATGTAGAATGCTTCTCGAACCGTTTCGATAGCACTGTTTTTCCAAAGTTACAGTCTGTTGAATTTTAAATAATTTTCAAGTTATACGTCTGACTCGCCGGTGAGTAGAATTACTTAGAAAAATGAAGGTCCGTCTGATCCATCGTTGATTCATACTACCTCGATTCTTCATCATGGAAGGTGGCGACTCGTAGCGGAGACTTTGGAACTACTTTAATTTTTGGCTCTCGCAGCCAACACGTCGCGTTCCGTATCATGTAGAGCCTGCGAGAATCATAAATTAGAAGTGTAGTTCCAAAGTCTCCGCTACAAGCCGTCACCTTCCATGAAGAATCGAGGTCGTAGTACGAGTCAATAATAGGTGCAGCAAATCTTTATTTTTTTAAGTAGTTCTAATCAACGACGGGTCAAACACTTTTTAGTCTAACCTGAAAATTAGCTAAAATTCAGCGGACTGTAACTTTGACTGTAAAATAACACTATCGAAGCAGTTCAAGAAGCATTTTACAGGTCGGAGTCTTCAGTTTCTACATTAATATCATAATTTTGCCATCGTTTCTATCAAAATATATCGAGTTAAATGAAATCGAAATCGTAAAATTTATAACCTCATCTGTTAATTGAGTTTTCACATAAAAAATTTGTTTTTATCAAAAATTTTTATTGTCATAAGCTTCAAAATAGTAAATCTAAAATTTAATAATTTCGATCGCAGTGTGAATTTATTATCTTGTTATTATGGCTAATATCTATTTACATATTCACTAAATTATACTACCTGTACAAAATGATTAAAAAAGTACAACTAATGAACAAACATAATGTTTAAAGTTACATATAACAACTACATATTATAAAACTTTCTCAATATTGTGTATTTTAATATTGTGTATTTTAAAAAATTCAGGAGGTGTTAATAGAAGACAAAATGCCTTTGCCAGCTACATTAGCTGCTCGTCTTGCAAAAAGAGGATTAATAACTGGTTCTGAAAAAAATGGTATGTTTAATCCTAACAATATATTTAAGCAATTGTTATTTTTCATTCCTAAGATAATCTGCATCTATTTCTAAGAAAAAATACATTATAACAATACCATCTATAATTTTTTTTATATTAAACCATTAATTTTGTAGAATCTGGAAAAAAAGAAGCAAAGAAGAAAATACACGAAGAAGTGATAGCTGAAGATTACGATAACACAAAGGAAGAAATCAATCAAATTGACTTATCTCAAAAATTTATGGTAAGTATGATTATGAAAGGTTAAATAAAAATATACGATAGTATATTCATATAGTATGTAAATTCATAAGAAACATTCAATATTTGTACTCTCATATATACGCTGTAATATGTTAAATATAGTATTTCATTTAGGGTTATAGTGGATGTCCTAATAAGTATAATATTTATCATGAATGTACAAAGAAATGTAAGGAATTATGGGGATTAGGGCATGTGCAACCTTCAGACAAATATTTGAAACAACAAATGAAGTTAATCCAAAAGTATCCCTTACCAGAAACTTGGAAAGCTGTTTATGATCCTGGATCGTGAGTATTTAATTAGAAGTTTGTTAGCTCCGCACAAATATATCTACTTTGTAGTAATTTTTGGGATTGTTGTATTAGCGTACAGAAAAAAAATGTATTACCTGTTTTTAGTGGGCAACACTATTATTGGGACTGGTCTTCTGACTTAGTATCTTGGTTACCACCAGGTCATCCTAAATGTCAAATATCACAACCTGCATCTCAATTACGAGAAGAATTGCACTTGAAAGCAGGTGATCAAGATGACAATATGTCGAGTGATGAAAGTGGGAGTGATCAAGAACCAATGGAAGTTAGTAATAATATACTTATACTCCTTATATAATATTGTAGATCTACAGTTTATACATTATGCAAGCATTATAAACACACCATAAAATTAAATAGATTCAATATTCACAAATAAGTTTATGATTTTGCAGGTGGATGAAGCTGATGCCAAAAAAGATAAAAAAGTCGAAAATCGTATAAGATATAAGGGACCAGACAATAAAAGATCTCAGAGATCTGATAGAACGGATAACAAAGATAAAAAAGATCGGACATTAGATCCTATGGATCCAGCGTCATATAGTGATATTCCCAGGTATAGATTTCTATCATAAAAATATATTAGAGTTGCATAATTTTCGACTGTATGTAATTATGTATAATATATATTTAACGCATCGTAGAGGAAAATGGTCAGATGGATTGGCTAGACACAATGAAGCAAAGACTGGTGCAGATACGACTGCTTCAGGACCACTCTATCAAATGAGACCATATCCCAGTCCAGGCGCGGTACTACGCTCTAATAGAGCCAATAAAGCAGAATCAGAATCGTCAAATAAACCGAAAGTTGCATTTCCAGAGAAACCAGAATAAATATGCTAATAACTGTAATAATATAATTTAGCTTCTACATATTTTTTCGTTACTGAAATTACTTCTTACGTATTATATTAACATATTTATGACAGAGCTGACACAGTACGTTTTGTGTACAAAATTATTTGTTATGCAAGAAATTATATTTATAAAAGCTGATAATGCTATTTATTACTTAATAATTCAGAAACACATTCGAAAATGAAGAATCATAATTAGGAAACATTAAAACACTCTTATGATGCAAAATTACTTTGGCATTTATTTGTCTTCTTTGCGGAAGATTAATATCATGTTATCTCTCTTCTTGATTTCTTTTCAAATATATCGGACAAATATGTGTAATTTAATATGAATATTCCCGCCTTAATTACTGTGCGTGAACGACTGAAATTTATCGTCGAACGTGTCTGTCGCCAAGTGTTTCTTATGGCAATACTGAAGCGAACACCAAATAAGTTGATTTCTGTATAAACTAAACTTATTGTACTTACTTTCTGTATTTACTGTCTAGATATATAAACTGAATATATTTTTTAATATAATATTAATATTATTAAAAAATGATATATATTGACCTATTATATTAAATGATATCTCTCTGTGTGTAGTATCGCATATTAAGGTAGTATTTTAAAATTATATTAGAATAGTATTAAACTATATAAATATTCGATGTTGGAATATGGATTGATATATGCGTATAACGATCGATAAACTGTAGACTAACGCGTGAACTTTTGTACGTGTCTTTATCTAGTTTTATACCACTCGACAGTTAAAGAAGATAAAGCTCTCTGCGGGAAGTCAGTAGGAAGGAGTGAGACAGTCTGATCGACGGAATTTATCATAAATGCCGTTACCGCGGCTGGAGCAACAGTTTACCGTATTTCGTCTCGGTAGTTGCGTCGCTTGTAAGATCCGCTTCGATATATCGCGCCGCGGCGGCATTTTCACGTCTTCGCGCTAGGCTTACAAAAAATGAATATCAGCATCGCGACGACAATACTCTTTATTTTTGCGTTTATACCTGCCTATGATAATGCGTATCTAGGATTTACGGAATTCTTCATTGGTGAGTTTTATGGGGATAAAATTTACCGACTTGATTTGTCAAGTCATGATTATTACATTGCTGTAATATTTATAATCGGTATTAATATTATTAAGCTTCGAAAAGTACGTGTTGAACGTCTAAAGGATATCTTTCAGATATTTGTATCGCCTTTGCTGATCTAACATAATTTCTATTGATGGTGTATATGAATAAAGCAGCACAATGATTGCATTCAGCGAATGCAACAATTGAGTAAACGATTTTTTGGGAGGTTATAATGCAATTACTACATCTAAAAATATACATCAATCATGAATAATTGTTACTAATTGATTATCCCATATAGCACAAATGTTCGATAAATATCCTAAGAACATTTTAAGAATATTCAAATATTCTTAGAACGTTCTTAGGATATCTATTGAATATTTGTTCTGTATGGGATACAACTATTGTGTTCGCTGAACGCAATTAATGTTATTTCTCACTCGACGATGTAACTGTTATATGCAACATGTATCGTATTGCACTTATATTGTTGAGTAAGAAATTATTACATTGATATAATGTTACTGTTACTTGGTTTTTACTGGGCAATGATTTTCAAAGAAGCGTGCCCAAACAGCATGAATGTCTGAAATAGTCTTAGGAACGTCCTAAAGACGTCTAGATAGAATATCTTTCAGACGTCTTAGACATTTATGCTGTATGAGTTAAGATGACTTAGACATTTATGCTGTATGAGTAATTTTATATAAATTTTGGACAACGGACAAAAGAAAAGGAAGAAGAAGAAATATAGAGATGGAATCGCGCATCTCGATGGAAAGATCATTGCGCGAGGATCAAAGTGCAAAGTGTGTTGAGTGTGTTTTTGTAATTGGAAAATCGTGATCAAAAATCACTTTTATAAATGCATTCTATCACTTTGTCGTAGTCGTAGAATGTGTTTCGCGTATATCATATACGATATTAATAATCAATAATAACACTTAGCATATTATTCTTAATTAACATAAATTTTTAAATGAAATGCGATGCAAATTCCAAAAAAATTTTCACGAAAAGTTCATGCGTACGCTGCAAATTCTAAAAAAAGATTTCCGCGAAAAGCTCATGCGTATACTGCAAGAAACTACTCAACTACCTTATTAAAGCTATCAGCTGAAGACATTGCAAATGTTACGTGAATATCATTATCATTTCATTATTACTAAATTTATGCAGACAATAAGCGCATACATTTCACAAGAAGATATATCTGAACGCGCACAAACTACAAAATGAAGTGAAGAGAGTCTGATGTGCATCTCGAATATTCGAGATCTTCTGATATTTCAGTGTATCTCTTCGACATTTTATCTATTGACCGGCCGTTTGGCCATTCCTCTTAACATAAAAGAAACTTGCTTGTTTGATTAGACAGAAACCAGCATGCAAATTCGACGAACAATTCGTGTTGCGTCGACGTTTACGAGGATGTTCCAAGCCACCTCGTCGATAGCGCGTTCGTGGAGATTATCTCGAAGTTGGACGACGAAGAGAAGTCAAAATTATACGACGAAACAAAGCCGCAGAACTGCACGCCGCACTCACTCGAAGAGTTCCCGGACGATCTCTTTACGGCAGAGCAGCGGCGTCAAGGCGCGGTAGCATTGCACGCGTTCTTCAGCTTCTACTGCTTCTTGATGACCGCGTTTGTTTGCAACGACTACCTGCTGCCGTCGCTCGACTGCATTTGCGCGCATATGAAGATCAGCAGCGACGTGGCCGGGGCGACCTTCCTCGCCGCCGCGAGCAGCTTCCCCGAGCTCTTCGTCAACATGATCGGTACCTTCGTGACGAAATCCGATCTCGGAGTCGGCACTGTCATGGGCAGCGCGGTCTTCGACACCTTCGCCACTCCAGCATGCGGCGCGTTATCGGCGTTTCACGTAAGTGCATCCAAAACGGATATCGGGTACTATCGTATCCGGTGAATGTCGCAATAGATCGGTGGTATCACAATATGAAAATCTCATCTCGCTTATCTCTATCTATTTAGTGGTTTATACAGGGTGCCTGACAATTCATGACATGATCCATTGTGTGCAAGTAGAACTCATTAGATCTTCACACAGAATTCCTCTACCAGTTCGCAAACAACCACGTAGAATTTTGAATTATTAACTTTGAATTATTAAATGAAAATTAATGGAGAATATGATCACACGATACGACGGTAGATGAGCTGTGATGGTGGCGTCTGCCGCTGTGTACATTAGAAAGTCAAACTGAACGGAAAAATTCTTTATCATTTTGCAAAAGACTACGTAGACGTTTAGTTAAAAGATGATTGATACATGATTAAAGATGATTGATGCGTGATTAAAGATGATTGATGCATGATTATGCGCGATAATGCCAACTAAGTACAATAACACCTACAGTAAATACGTGTGTTATGTAATGGTTACATTATTGAGTGGGAAATTATAATATTGATATAATGTTACTGTTATAGTCGGTGTTTACTGAGAAAGAAAGAAATATGGGATAGAGAGTTGGAAACATGTATAGATGGTATTCTCTTGCGCAAACAACCTGTGGAATCCGTGGTATTTGGGTTTATATGATAACTCATTATGTATGGATATGACACAAGGGCGCGCGCTTTCGCACACCTCCGCGTAGAGAACGGTCTGTAGATACTGGTTATCTCAACACTAATCCCTGATCCAGGTCCTGATCATCCCATTTAACTACAACGCAGTACCTGCGACACGATGTGTATCGCTCGCCCTTCCTCTTCTGTGTGTTTACGCGACAACGAGACATCGTGTCAATTTCACTCGAAATATCGCCGATAAGCTACCTTATCGAGACAATACGCAGTCTATCAGTTTCTCAATAACAATGTTTTATAGGTCATAAACATTCAAAGGAGGCCCTTGAATGAAAACTTTTTGTTCTGTGCTTATATGTATGTGCTTAATATTTAGTTTCTCGTGTTAAATACTTCGTTATCGCCCAATACTCGAACTTTTAATTATTGTTTTTTATTTATCACATTTAATATATATTAGAGAAGGGAATAGCTATTTTGGCAACATCCAGAGTAAAAGTATTTGTCTCTTTAAAAAAAGCCTTTTTTAAAAAAAGAACAGAAATATATATTTTAAAGCACAAAATTTTTTTCCTTTCTCTTCTCTTTCATAGCACGCGTGTTTGACGCATTAAAATTGAATTGTTCATTGACTTTTGAATCGTATGATTATCTGGATTGATAATTTGCCTTTTAATTACCTGAACATATCTAAACAATCGGGATATCGTTCTCATGTTTGTAAGACTGCTGTTACTTAATATGTTAGCACTTTGTATGAAGCAATCGCGACAGGAAATCTTGTCATATAACATACTTAACGAGAATTAGAGTAAAACCCTAGACAACATAATGTCTAAAATCGGGATATAAAACGTCTTAAAGATCACCTTTAAGTTGTCTTTCAAACGATTTGCGTATAAATGTCTTTAAGACGTCTTAAAGATTTTCTTTAAGATGTCTTATGTCCCGATTTTAGACATTATGTTGTCTGGGAGAAAAACTGCAGTACCAATTATATATAAATTACATATAAATACTTGAAATGTTATATAAAATTTATTTTCGGAACGTACAATGGAAAATAATTAGTTTTGTCAGTCTTCTTTAATCTTGTTTATTATATAATCAAGGCAGCGACCACTCGTGTCATTATTTGAGAGTCTCTGAAAGAATCAAGGAGTTTAAGAAATTAACCTGCGGAATTCCCCGATGTCATGAATAATGTCATGTGCTGCCTTCACGATACGATGATGTATTTCATTTTATCGTACTTGGTTATTGTCAGAACAAATATATCTACATTGACGGATTTTATCGCGATATGAAAGCTTGAAATCCAGACTGCCAGAATACATCTAATTAACAGCCATTTCTACAGTAAAAAGTGTAATTTGTATATCACGTTTGTATATACTATTATATTATATTATATTTATATTACATTCATCCGTCACTAATTAAAATTTGATAAAATACTAATCTAGATCCGGTTTTGGCGCGATAAGTTCGATTAGCATTCCAATCGATTTTTGCGTTATTTGTTATCACCTATATCATGAATACCGAAGTATATAACTCAAAGATTAAAGATTAATATATCTCTTTAATAATATCGGAAATTACATTTTCATATTATCAGCTAACATTTCGATTTTGCATCAACTCTGCATATTTTCTGCTGACACTTCCACGTTTACTACATTCAAGAAGTCGGCAATCGCAGTAACTCTAATAATAATACAAATATTATGGCACTTGTGTTGATCTGCGTGCGAATTTAGAGGAATCGCAACGGATTACAAATTCTCCTAATCAATTTTTTATTCATCTATTGATACATGTCAAGAGATAAGGAACTGCGCGTACTGATTACGCCACACAATTCTTGCAAATGACAATGGTACAGCAATAATAATGTTCATATTTTCCTTGACTATTCTTTTCTGTATCGACGTGCAACGATAATATATCGCTTTACTTCACGCCAACAGTTTATTGTCTCATTAAGATTATGTGTTTAAGGACCTAATTCCATTTTTATTGTCGTCTTGCAAAAGCCTCGCGTAAAAATAAAAGAATGTTCGAGAAGAAGAAAACTGTCCTCATGCAAAAACCGCATCAATTTTGAGATAAACACTATTTGTATCTTTTATAGCTCGTCTCGCTCGCAATATTGCCGGAGCAAATAAAACTGTTGTCTGTTTCATATTCTTCAACAGGCAATACAATTAGAATGGCGGATATTAACACGCGATTGCATATTTAACGTGATATCAGTCAGCACTCTGGTGGTCATAATGAGGGACGGCGTAATTGAGTTATACGAAGCAGCCATCCTCATAGTATTGCTAATCGCTTACCTAACGATATTGTTTTGCGGCAAATGCTTTGTACGATGGTATAGTAAGTTTGCGCATCTGTTTACTGGCAAAACCAGCGGCACAGTCTTTTCAGAAGAAAAATGTAAGTGCTTGTTTAATTTTTGAAATATCTATTTAATAATATCTAATAATGTCTAATAATATCTAATAATATCTAATAATATCTAATAATATCTGTATTGTGCGATATGAGATATAAGCAAAACAAAGCAAAGTAATAATATAAAGAATAGTTAGACTTTAAACCTATGTTTTAAATATCTCAATGACATATAATGTTGATTAGCGTAATTTTGTATAATCATATTTTTTTTTGTATACTGTGACTAAATTCTACAAAAAATTATATATATATATATATATATATATATATATATACACATATAACAACAATTAGTCATATATTTAATAATTGAATATACAAATATATACACAGAGAAATAATTGTGAAATCGTATGTGATATACCCCACAAAAACGTACGTCGAATTCACGTCGAATCCACGAAATCACGTGGATTCCACGTGGGTGTAACGTGCATGTTTTTGTGGGGTATTCTTTAATACGATGAACAAGTATCAAAGTTCTTGTGATTACTTGTAAGTTCAAACAAGTTGCTAAAGTATAAGATGCTCTAATAAGAAACTCTCACATCTCCTTAATGTCTTTTACGTTGACATGTAATACTTGTCGACAGGTGATGGCGTAATTCAGTATAACCGCGTATGCATTCATCTAAGAGTCTAGCGAGATACGTGGACCACCTGTGTGTATGAACTTTGCACTTTGTTATTCGACAGCTCCCAAGAGCAAGGAAGAACCCATAGTCGACGGTCTCTATAGACCGTACTTTCATGGCGAACTCGTGGCGGAATATAGAAGGAAAAGCGGTGCGAGCATCGGAGCTCAGAAGCCTTCCACTGATCGCGATGTGGAAGCACAAAATAATCTGGAAACTGCGGAGGAATATGTGGAGCCAGGTACATACATACATATTGCGCGCGAGCGCGTAATCTGAATCGCGCAAGGGCAAACTTACTTAATATGCGAATATGTGTTATTACGATAAGATAATCCCAATATCAGCAGAATTTGTAAATTGCTGTCTTCTCTTGTGGACCCTCTTTCCGTTTTAGATACGCCCTTTGTATGGCCAACCGGCGGTAATCTAGCCAAAATCTGGTTCTGCTTTGTTTGGCCTTTAAAACTAATCTTGTTCGTTACCGTACCGGACAGCAGATACAAACGATGGAAAAACTGGTATCCGGTAACGTTCATTATGTGCGTCTTATGGATTGCGATTACCTCCTACCTGGTATCATGGATGATGACTGTCCTCGGCGACACTATAGATATTTCGGATTCCATAACGGGTCTCACGTTTCTGGCCGCCGGCGGCAATATGCCAGAACTCATCTCGATCGTGATACTTTCCAGGCAAGGTGAGCAGTCGGATGAAAACACGTGGAACAATTCGTCTCTCGATGTCCTCGAACCGGGATAATAGGTTCATTTTTGCGCAATGAGATGCACCCCCTCAGATGTCGCATTAAAGTTCGAGAAGAAGAAAGACGAGATCTACCTTCTTCGAAGTATCAATCGAAGAGAAACACGCCCGTCAGAAGGGTCGAAGAATCTGTTTCATTCGATGTAAACATTCGATGTAGATGCTCAAGTTAGAATGATCTGTCCAGCAATTGAATACTACTCAATGAATAAACAGTTTGCAATATTTATTATAATGTTATGTGGCGCACTTTATGATTCAAGTGAGTAACTAGAAATAACTCACAGATCGTATGATTATGTCAGAGAAAATGTTTCGCAAAAGGTTAACCTGACTTCGCCTGTTCAAATAACGGAGTTTGGCGCTCATTTACTGGACAAATCACCCTATGTAGCGTCTCCCGGCAAGCACTGCAATCTAGAATTGATATTTTCTAATGTTGTATCGCAGGTAACGGTGACATGGCTATGAGCAATACATTAGGCGCAAACACACTCGATATTTTAATGTGTCTTGGAGTACCCTGGTTTATAAAGACCTGCATATCAGGGAAGAGCATTCACATCGTCTCGGGTGCGCTGTTGTACAGCGTACTCTCCATCATCATATGTGTGATTATTTTCTACATGGTGATCGCATTCAACAAGTATCAACTGAACAAGAATGTGGGCGTGATTTGTTTGATATTGTACGCGATATTCCTCATCTTCGCTGTACTGGTAGAGCTCAACGTTTTTTTCCCCGTCAACTTACCCATGTGCTGACCTCCATCGCATTCAACGACGCTTCTGTCGTCGCTCTTTGTTTCTATTTTTCGATCGCCACGAGTCGATCCTTCTCAAGGCGGGGAAACCGACGTTGAATCGAGATCAACAGCTTTTAACAGCTTCTCCTCGTGCGTTTAGGAGAGCAAAATGACGGAGTCCCGCGATCATGAGACTGAGAACATGAACAAAAATTGAGGCGCGAAGGTTTGTCGATTGCCACGGAGCTGTTGCGAGATTGTTATGCGTTTTAATTATGTCTCATTCATATTTTTACTTCATAAACTTCCGATCACATTCACACACACATACGCAGACGCAGGCTCGAATGCCGATCAAAGAGACTTTTGTATCAGAGAACAAAAATGTAACTTTCATTAAAAACTATTTATTATGTTAAGAACGTTCTTACTGTATCATCCGTCTTGCGTTTTCGTTTGACACTGTACAGAAAATTTATGCTGAGCCCTACAAAAATCGAAGGACCATAATTGTGAATTAAGAAATGTCTTCAGTAAGCACGTTCGAGATTTGACGGAATATCCCTGCGAGATATCTTTCGGATTAAGGATTGAACTTCCGGCTTAGAGGACTAACACTCCTCACACTTACACATGCACGCACGCACGCACGCACGCACGCACGCACGCACGCACACACATACACACACGCACACACACACACACAGATGCGAATTTATAGTTTTTATTATAAAAATTATTATATAATTTATACACTAGATGTTATAATGCCGTAAATCGTGAAGACGCAAAAGTGTTCTTGAAGTGTCTATTATTGGGATGGGCGAATCAATCGCGATCATCCGCACCTTCCTTCGTGCAATGTTCGATCGCGCTCGAAAAAAGCGTATAATGTGTGTATATATACATACATAATATATAAATATATATATATATATATATATATATATATATATATATATATACACACATACATTTGTATATATAATTTAATTCGCATATATAGTAGTATTATAAAGAAACGCGTGACTTTTGTGGCGAAGTATGTAAGTAGTTTCGGAGGGAAGAGGTGTGCCGTTTCGCTGCAAACGAAACATGGATCCCGATATCGTATAAAGATTGCCCATCCCAAAACTCTTAATGTACTATAGTATAAATCGGCCTCGACCGGCCACTTTTATATTTACAAGCGGACGGCATGACATTTCTCATTTGATGTCGACTCTTCCCGCGTTTTGCGAGCACGAAGCGACCAATTTACGTCGAACTGTTGTGCGAACCAGTTTATCTGCTCTCAGCTTATTTGCTCTTTAGATATTCGCGAAGAGAGTTCGCCGTGAAGTTCAGCTACGCTTTCGAAGACTTGTTTCATACATTACGTTACGCGCTTCTTCTTTCGTTCTTCTTTTTCTTTTTACATGCGTGTGTTACGCTTTGCAGTAACAATTATACGCGCATCAATTTGTTCGTTTTGCTCGTTTCGGTGCTCTTATAAAGAGAGAAAGAGGGAGAGAGAGAAAGAAAGAAAGAGATCACCGTAGTCGCGAATGTGCTAAATCGTGAGTAGCGATATAACGATATTATCGTCGCGGCGATGGTCTCCTCACGGTCATTGAGGATATACTCAGCGATAATAATGAGATGTCCATCGCAACACACACATTGGTCCCCTTAGTCATTCAGGATGTCGCCAGTGACCGTACGGATATTCCCAATGACCATCGGGATATTGCTCCTTGGCATCGAGGACGCTCTCGTGTTTTTCGACGGGCAAACGGGCCCGCTCCTATCGCCTGCGCGTGAATCACCTGGCTCGTGCTCCGAAAACGCGGAAACGATCGGGCAATAGAATATCATGACGACTTCGAATTTTAGTTTGACTCGGTACGATTAGAAGGACTCTGCGTGTCAGAAATATTTTTTTCGTTTTTCCTTTATTCTTGTCGATTCTCGGATATTGCTTTTCTATTGGCGCTGTTACGTTGCCGTACTCCCTTCCTATCACATTAAGGATACGGTAGACTTGCCTATGCGACGCGGTCAGCGAGATCTATGTATACCTATTTACGAGAGAGTAAACAGGCGATAAGTAAGTAAGTAAGCAAGTAAGCAAGTAAGCAAGCAAGCAAGTAAGTAAGTAAGTAAGTAAGTAAGTAAGTAAGTAAGTAAGTAGGCGGTGGAGGGTGTGCAATAGGCCGCGGTAATGTGTTGCGTATATATCTTCCCTTGGACGTTTTTTTTTTAAATAAATTACATCACAGAAAGTTATAAATACGATGTGAGCATCGACGTGCCCCGAAGAGCAATGTAATCTTTATTACGCGCCAAGGTATATTTTTATCTTTTATATCGCTCAACAGGATGATGATTAACGTTTGTCGTGGGTAAAATGTAAAAACTGAGGAACAAATAAAGACTGATCCAATTCAACGAGAACCACTTATCTTAGTTGAACGCGAGCGAAATGATGGGAAGAAGCGCCAATTGAAAGTTTGCCGGAGAAAGCAAGTGGTTGGAGTCAGTCTTGACGAGGTCGTCTTGACTTCAATGATTGCGGCCCGTGTCTTATCTGGATTGTCACGCGGCCTGCACGATCACGTCTGTTCGAAACTGTTTGACGTCTTGTCACGGCACAAGCTATAATTTAAATACACGCAAACGAATGTAACTGTCGGGGCAGCAACATGGAAAGTGCGGGAACGTGTGGTCCAATTGAATTTTAGATTCATTGCGGGATTGATTGTATTCTCCGATCTTGTTCTCTTATCTCTGCGCGACTTTGCATTTCGTCACTTTAACTTACTGAAGTTACCAAGTGATACCGATCGTATGACGAGTGAGCGATATCAGAGTTGAGATTGCGCTCGCGATCAAGAGACCATCGAGAGAAGAGATCTGCTTTTATTTAACGCCCCACAATTTTACCGTCGGTCTCTCGCTGTCCTTTTTCTTCCTCGTTTCTTTCGCCCCACTGAATCTACACACGAGCTGAGTTTCAGGCACGCGCTTACACACACAGGCACGCTCTTCAGGTACCGATGCCGTATAGAGATTTCGTTTACTCCTAATAAAATCCACCACCGACGATTCGATCGATTGTAGGCAACGGACGACGCAGTCGTCGACAATAAGAGCAATTCCTATGTGCCGCCGTTGGAGCGACTTGTTTATTGCGCAACTCGTAAATACTCGAAAATGTAAAAAACAATGGGTGATGTCGAACCGCGTTGGTGATTATCGCTCGACGTTCTCCCAGAGATTGCTATGTGTCGATTCGTAAGCATTAATCCCGCGCGAATTCTATGTCCGCACGATTTATTTACTGTGTGCGCGACAATTGGTTTTATACGCGTAACGCGACTGACTCCCCTATAACGTTATCATTTCCAAATATTTACAGTGGACCTACGTCGCTGTACCTACATATGTTATGTATGTATGTATGTATGTATGTATATATATATATATCGCTTCGACGGACGCGTCGAAGGTCTGGCTCGAAGAAAACCGTATGCGCGATAAAAGCGTACTGGCAGCTTCCATTATCCACTCTCCATTATTCTCTCTCTTTTTTCTTCTTTATTTGATTCCCGAGTAGACACGCGGCATCGCCGTATTCCCGCGAGAAACTCGCGTTTATCTTCGATAATCGGACTGACAAGATCGAGCATGGAATGCGATGATACCAATACAGAGAGGGAAAGATCTCCGCACGCACGTAAAAATGAGCGCACCTGCGTGACGTTACGCACAGGATGTCGTCACGTGTGTATAAAGTAACGCGCGTCGCATATTCGGCAAAAATATCCGAGGGTAGAATATAGCTGTGGCAAATAGCGCGATTATCGATACAAACGAAACTACGTCTTCTTTTTTTTGTTTTTTGTTTACAAGCTACTTCTCGCACACGCCACGTGGAGTTTCGTTCCTAACACTAGCAGTAAGGAAAAGTCGTCTGTGTGAACTACGTTGCCAAGAAAAAGGACGCCATCGTTTCTTTCTCCGATACTTATGTACATCCTATGCATGAGTTCGTCATGTTTACATGCGCGAGAGATTCTCTCACGGGCTACCGTACTTGAGCAATGTTTCAAATGATCGGTAAAGCGGCGCTTAGTGAGCGAAGGCGCGATACGCGTCTGTCGACGATTTCCGTCTTTTTTCTTTTCTGTTTTCCTTTTCTCCTTCGAGCTCTTTTTCTCCTTAATGAAACCGTAAAATAAATCGAACGTAAATATGAACACGTGCGTAAATGTGACTCTAAGTTATTCACTGCAAACCTCGCGTCGCTCTCAAGACAAACGATTTCTCTTCAGGACGCTATATTACTGTACGGTAAAGCCAACAAAGCTGTCGTGAACGATAAACAAACAATGGTTTAAAAAAAACGATCATCTATTAGAGTAAAGATCTCTTGTACGATAATGTCCGGCTGACCAGAGATTTCTTTCCTTTTGCCACGTGTGTGATTCTATCGCGTATCCGTGCTTAAGAACTTACTCTCTTAAAGTGAATCGGTAAAAATGTTTCTCATTGAGTTGATAAAAGAAGTATTTCATCGATAATTTGTGTGTGTTCACTGATTTTCAGTGGATACACTCCGACTTTATCGCTCTATCTTATATCTTACTGATTTGGACAAGTAGAAGTAAGATTTCATTGCAAAATTCATTAAGTCAACGCATCAAGTCCACCTTTTCGCGTTTATGGCGATGGAATTAAATCGTTTCCATGCGATTTGCGTGCAATGACATTATTTGAGTTGGCAAATGCATCGATAATGGTAACACTCTTTTAACTAAACTATTAACTGATCCTTTCTACGAGATTTTACCAATGCCATACTCATAATTGGACTACCAGTTATAAGTATAGCGTTTCAATGAAGAATATACTTTAGAGAGTACAGTTCTTATGAGTTCGACTGAGCTTGCGAACGGAGATACTTGATGCACGGCAACGTATGTATTACGGAGAACATCCGTGTGAAAATATAACTCGAATGTAACGTGTAATCTCTAAGGAAGTGACAGCATCTAAGAAAATTAACGCGACGGATGAATGAGGCAAGAAGGTGAATCGGATTTTGAATGAACAAAGGTTCGCCAGTTCACCGATTCATTTTTCTCTTGTTTTAATTTGTTCCACGGACTCGACATCGCCGTGTCTTCTTTGAAAAGCGATTCTCAATCGCATTCACCCGCCGGTTCGCTGTATCCTCGAAAGAAATACAGAATATGTTTCTTCCTCGTATTCAAAAGCGAGAAATTCCCGACACGATGTGTCTCTGTTAAAAATCTATTAAAAATTTGCACGCTGTGTGTCGCGCGTCTCCTAATGCAACGCGATTCTCCTCAAAATCCTCGAACAAACTAAATATCTAAAAGCGAACTGAATAGAAACGATACCTAGAAGCGGAGATTCCGAGCGGAGAGAGATTAACGGGGAAAAATACGAGAGCGTAGAACTAAGCGGCAGCGAAAGAAGTATAGAATATGTAAAATCCGGAGGTTGAAGTTAATGAAGTGGTACATCGCGTTAGGCGTGAGAACACCGGGTGGAGTACTCAAAACGCAATTCTGCTGATAAATATCATCATTTTCGACAAATCCTACGACCTATGACGTAACTTTTTAAGTAATAATCGACGTGCTATAATTGTTCGAGTTGATTATCCGCAAATCGCTTCTTTACTTCACCAAAGTGGCAGAACGAGTGTGTCTTGGTATTTTCGGTGGACACTCGAGATAATCCAAATTCCTTGCACTACGGGTGTGACTTCTTATGTGTACGTGTATGTGTGTGCATGTAGCAAACGGGATTATTAACGTTAAGAATAATGAACACCTTAGAACCGCGAATGAAAACCTCGACGACAAATGTGCCTGTAGCCGAGAGATTTTACGAAAGGTTCGCTTTTGGAGCAGTCACGTGTTTCCGTGTTTGTTTATTTGTGTGTGTGTGTGTGTGTGTGCAAGCGCAACATGCGATTCCGTTGAACGAGAGAGAGAGAAAAAGAGAGCAAGACAGAGAGATAAAGAGAGAAAGAGAGAGAGAAAGAGACAGAGAGAAAGAAAGAAAGAAAGAAAGAGATAGAGAGACTCGTGCGAAATCGCCTTTTACTTCCCTACATCTACGAGTGTCCACGCGTGATGTTACGCGACGCGACGTGACGTGCGAAAGGGTTAAGGAATCGCGCGCCCGAGGAGTCACCCGCGGCTGTGCCTCGCCATCGGACACGTCGCGGACAGGTTGCCCGATGTACTCGTAATTGTAGTAAATATTGTCATCGACTCGGATGTGCAACATGTACACTCGACGTACGCCGCGACCAAACGGGGGCGAGGACGCGGACAAGTCCGCGCGTCGGTCCTCGGGCTCGACAATACCGGGGCGAACGATGGACCGTCGTCGCGCTCTTCATTGTATCTCGCAGAACGGCATCTTATTGTTCACTTCCTTGCTCTGCTCCTGATCCTGACTGTTGCCGCCTTCGCTCTTCGGACTGCCAGCCTCCTCCAGCGAGCCCCCACCACTGCCGTGGGGGCACATCGATTGTCATCTAAGCGCCAGGGTGGACACCATCGGCGGTCGGGACGGTTTGTTGTCAAGGATCCTCTCAATCTCGCTCATTATATTCGCGTTCAATTTTGGAATAAGCTGAAAGCAAACCGCGACATTTCTCGCTGCTGCTTTTTTTCTCCTTCTCTCCACGGCATTTGAGATCTTTGATTCAACAGTTACGCGGAATACCAAAATAATTCCAAATGCAATATTGAAAGAGTGTGCCGAGCAACTTCACCTACGCTGCGCATCGAATTCTGTATAACGTTTGATTTAAACGAACAAACTGAAGTTTACCTGCAAACTCTGGAGACTCTCATACAATTGATCTATATTGGACGCACCGAGCAGAAGGCACTGAACACTTTCATTCTTTAAAGACCACGCGATGGCCAGTTGTCCGAAAGAACATCCCAATCTTTCGGCCAGAGCACACACGTCCCGCAATTTATCCGAGTATTTCCGAGTCTCTTCGTCGGCGGACTTGTCCTTCCACGCGTATTCCTGGCGTGAAAACGAGCATTACCTCAAAGACGAGCGCACAGAATCGCGTCTTACGTTGCACATATGGGATTATGCTTATTTAAATTATATTCTCTACTTTAATGTAAAATAAAGAAAATGAAATAAAAATGTGGATTAAAAATGATGAATAAAAAGTGGATTAAAAATGGAGGAAGTGACACTGCGTTTTATGCTTGTGATAATATATTTGAGTGGATAATTAATCAGCGAACGTGAACTTTGGAAAACGTTAAGTGAGGGATACGTGAAAATGTTACAAGTACAATAATCGTATGTGCATATTACTTGTATAAGCGCGTTACTCTCATAATAAAACCGTACCTCCTTGTACAAAGATTGAGTTTCATCCTCTGTCCAACTGAACGAAGAATATTTGTTCTGAAATAAAGAATATTCTCAGTCGGGTGAAAGTTCCTCATTTTGAATAGCTTGTATCGTAAAGATGAGATCAGTATTCGACATTTTCGTGAATCTGCTTGAATCTGCTTGTTTACTCTATCGAATACTTACTTTATAAGAGGATCTCGAGAGAAACGATACGCCGCAGTCTTCCGGCTTTGAGGATACCATTCCAATAGTGACAGTGGACCATGCCATCAAGCCAACGCCTGTAAAAATTGGCATCTTCTTTTGAACAGATCGCGAGAGTTATTCTTTGCCGAATTTGCCGATCGATGAGAGAGAAATCAAGAGGCAAGATTGCGCGGGGAAAACTTGCTCTCGCGTTATCACACGCTATTAGATGAATTTAGTGGATAGACTAATTACCGATTTTGTTATACAATTCGGGCATATAGAGTTCAGGTTTCTCCCTGTAAAACAGATGATACTCCGCTTGCTCGACGATCGGTGTCACGCAATTGAATTGCCGACAGTTCGTATAGGCTTCCATGATCTCCACGGGCGTCCATCGCGATGTACCCCAGTACATCACCCAGCCTTTGCTTATGACATAATTCATAGCACGAACTATCTCTGAAACGAGACCACGCGAACACGTGAGACACAAGAGAGACAGCGGTGTCGCGTTTCATTGTGGAAAGTTGCCAGGTGAATGATAAGTGACGGCAAACCAATACATGAACTTCTATCCTCTATCGAAACAGATAGTTATCTTCTTTTCTTTTTTACGATAAATATCTGTCAGGGATGGAGCAAAAATATGTTCTGAAGCGTATATAGGGATAAAGGTAAAATGGCTAAATAATTCCCACTTACATACATTCTTCACACGATATTAAAGCATACATTAACGCGATACGTAAACACAAGAAGATGAAGAAGTTGACATGTATATTTATACAAAAGAAATAAATATATACAAATATATGTATATATAAAGTACATGTACACTTTTACACGACAATAACTTCCCATTCTCACGATGAGAAGAAGCATACGATAATTGTTACGGCACAGTGCAACTGCCAAACATCAAATCGTCACTATAATAAAAACTTTTGGTAACTTTGCTTCTCTTCTCGTTTCTCGAAATTTTGCGTCTGAATAGACCGGAATAGCCTCATGAAATTCTTTATGTCTTCTGTGAAGTCGAATCGCATTATGCAATGTGTAACCAAGTGTGGGACTTTATCGAATTTCCAGATTAAAAATGTCGTTATATCCTCCTTATTAATTGCGATAACGCGCTTCTCATTTCATGATTAAATTCATTACATAACGTTATTCGGAGGGATCGTGTTCCACAAATGTGTAACAGCGTATCTTGGAATCGAGAAATCCCCGTTACGATAAATTAATGATCTTCTTTGAAAGTTCAAGAGCCTCGATTTTATTCTCAACGTTTCAGCCGATCTCGGCGAAGAGTGATTTTACCTTTATCCGTGAACTGAAATTCATTGCAAGATACTTCCGAGCGATGCTTCAAGCACGTGACGTTTAAGATCAGTGGCGAGTCTATTTCTACACGTGGAACATCTATTTATACGGAACTACGCGTTATCGCGCGAAGAACGTCTTGAAATATCGTGTAAAGTTATTATCGGAAATATAACATGTCGCAATGTGTGTATATACGATGCTTGGTGCAGTGAGGTGTCTTGCCAGTAAGTGTGTGACGAACGATGAAATGAACGGGAGGGAGGATTTGTCGAAAACAGAGAGATATCCTCCCGAATATTAGCTCGCAAGAGTACGTAGCTGTTGGAAAGTTACCTTCCATCGGACACATTGGATCGACTTTGTGGATCATGACAATGTCGATGTACGACAGTTGCAGCCTGACGAGCGAAGCTTGCACGGACTCGATAATGTGTTTCCGCGATAGCCCGCGACCCTCGGTCCTATCACAAGAATGGTAGATGTTATCAGTCTCGTAACACAATACCACAAGGGGCGGATTAATAATAATGAGAATCATAAGAGACGGGGATGAGACACGCGTGCCGCTCTTAACGCTCCCCCTGCGCAACAACAACGGTGTAATTTAACGCGGGATGTATCGAAACAATGGTCTAACGCGACGCCTAACGCACAGAAACCTAGTTATCGATCCACACGTCAAGGCGAAACCTCATATTCACAGGCCACTTAATATTAAATGAGGCCGTCTCGTACCGAGATTCTCGCTTATGCATAACACCGTCGCGGCGCGGATACTCCACAATCTTAAAATAAAGGCGACGTAATTGGCTTTAGGCGGCCCGATATAAGACCGGCGGCGCGGCTGAATTTTGAATGGGAAACGATCTTAATCGTCAATAGCATACTACTTCGGTACGCTCAAGGCCGCTATTTTTATGAATTGTTTCAGATACGCGACATATACGATCGCAAATACGGAGCACGGCATCTGATAAGATGTTAGTAGCCTTTTTGAGAGTTATTAGCAACATGTAACTTCTAATTTTAGATCTGGTTCCAACAAATACGCGGCTCCGGTGTGTGTTTAACAGCGAGTTGTTCTTTGATCAAGCGCAAGCGGGCTGTAATTTGACAAGACTACACTTCTCTCAGCTACACGTTTTTTTTTTGCTATATCAGGATACTTAAAACTGCAAAAGAATATCAAACTACGTCTGACTCCGGGAAATGAGCGTCAATTCGCTCCGGGAGAATTTGCAATTGGCAGAATCACACAAGATCGCGCGCACATCTTGTACTACTTCTCCCGCGACAACGAGCTCCGCTTGGAGTCACACCGAGCTACATCCTCTACAGGTTCGGGCTATTACGTACAATACCTAAATATCACGATCTACATAGAGTAACGCTAGAGTAGGGGGAAACGCGAAGGATAAAGGTCGGTGAGCGTAAGTTCGATTACACTGAAGCCATCGATCGAGAAGCACACGTAATAGAATGCGCCTTCGCGTGCAGCAGCGTATATATATATGTATATATATATACATATATATATGTATACGTATATGTATACGGACAACATCGAGAGAGAGCCACCGACACGCCACTACCAGCCTCTGCTATGATCATCAATGCCCGCTACACCATCAACGACGACGCCACCAACGACACTGACACGCGCCAAAACCGAGGCCAGCGCTACTCACTTGGTGTTCCAGTAAATTTTCGTCGTGACTACGTAACTGGAGCGATTCCAGGCGCGCCTCAGCAAAATCCGACCGAACTGGATTTCCGCGCGGTGTCCGCTGTGGGCCTCGCTCAAGTCAAATACATTAATCCCGCTGTCGTAGGCGAGCGCCACGACGGCCTCCGCGGTCTCCTCGCTGCCGCAGCCGCCCACGCCGAAGGTGGTCCATGTTCCTGTGCGCATAAAACCAATCAAGCGACATCAGCGACCGTTTACCGCGGGCGATTCGCGACAACAACCATGTGTTCACCTGAGGGGCCGTTGCGATCTAGTAGGTCTAGCTTACCCATCTCGCAAGAGAGAACGCCGTTCCGCCCGAAGATCAAGTGGCTGCGCGCAGAGCCGGCTCGAGAGCAGGTGGATTTTGCGAAACTTTACGACTTTTGTAAAACTGCTAAATGCAACGTTTACTAATAGCCTCGAGCAAATTGAATATGAAATGCAAGGTACCGCGTGTTGACTGAGTTACACAAATAACTCATTTCTTGAGTCTTTAAGCCTGTTAAGCTCAAGGTCTATTAGCAAATTGTTATCGATGCATCCCGGAGATATCCAGCCGGCTCTGCTGGCTCTGATATTAAGAATATTGCAAATAGGAAATGTATGAAGCTTTTGCAAGTTTAAGAAATGACGATCAGTGATAGTAGAAAAGCAGTGAGAGGGACGATCGCATAAGAAATCGCGATCCGTGAAATTGAAGTAACTCGCAAGAGAACATTGCGAAGGCAAGCTATATTCTGCTTTAAGTCAACATACATTTATCAAGAACGTGCAAAAGATATTAAAGAGCATGTATCTCTTTATTTTTGTTAAGTTTGCGTCTTTTCTGCAATAAAATTCTTCTAATGTTAACAGTGATACTAGCATATAATAGCAATCAAATTTTTCCGTTGCGTCTCCTAAAAGATCGCTTTTGCAGAAATCGCAAGAAACACTCAACTCCTCAGGAAAAAAATTAATAATTCGAAGCGTACCTTAAAAAAATTTTCATATATGTATATATATGTCTGTGTGTGTGTATATATATATATATATATATATATATATATATATATATATATATACACACACACATATAACAAGATATATATGTTTGTCTACACAAGCTATGTGAATTGCATATGTATTGTCTGAACCATTAAGCGCGAACGTTCGGCCAGGTGTGAGTGTGTCGTATATTCGCATTCGCAACATTTGTAAATCAAAAAAGAAGAGAATAAAAACAGAACGATGCGACGGCGAGGGAGAGCACAGCGTTACGGAATAATGAATGCGAGACGTGAATCGAACACGACGACGACGACACCCACGGCGTCTCGGCAGGCCGGTAATAAAAATCCGATAGCCGTGGAGAGGATGCATTCCAAGATCGATTTGCGATATGTGCGCCACGGAAAAGTGGGTCTAGGTTAGCTGGGAAGCCTCGCAAAAGAGATCTCAGAGAAATGACTCTACGAAAGTGGGGAATACATTCAGCGTACCTAATCCAACATTGGAAACACGTAGACCGCTTTTGCCCAAGTTGCGGTAGCGAATACCTGGCGAGGGATGCTGCAAACGTTGCGCTTGTGCGGCAATGCAGCTAGTTAGTAGCTGCTCTTTTGTTCCGGTCGTGTTGCTGCAGTGCACGCCCGAGTCTGCACCGCCGCCGCCACCGCCGCCGCCGCCGCCGCCTCCGCCGCCGTTGAACTCTTCCATGCAATCCAGACTTGCTATGGGTGCACGGCAGCTGCGCATACAACATGCACGAGTTATCGCATATCGATGTCGATATTGCGTTCGTTTCGCGCCATACACGCGCCGCGAGAAACGTGGAGGCGATGCGACATCGTCGAGTCTCGTCGCAACCTCGTCGATGGTCGATCGCCGCGTTTCCAGCCACCGGAGAACCACCGGATACTCGCTTCCCCCAAATTTCACCTCGCGACCGGCCGTCGCGAGATGTGTGTCGTTTCTTTTGCGATCTCTCAAGTTTTATCTTGAACTGCCAATCCTTCAGCGCGGAATTTAATTTCGTTTTCGTCGCGACTAACTAGCCCCGAGTTGAATGTTCGAATTGTCCTCGAGAGCAATTTCGCGAAAATCGTGAAACTTTCCAAGTCGCACAATTATCAACGTCTCCAATTGTCAGGACAATTAGAGTCGTGTTTCTCAGTTTGTCCCGTAGTTTTCCTGCTTGAGAAGACATCCGGTGATTTCGAGAGAAACACCTCGCGTTAAACCGGCTCGGTTCAACCCTCTCATCGCCGTTTAACCGCGCTATATATCACCTACGCGGATACGCATGCGTGCACGTGTGCATATAGTGCCGCATGCATGCGGCGCGTGTACCCGTCATATGGATTTTCGAGAGTTTTTCCCGTGACATAAAAATTTAGAAAGTAATATCATGATGATGCGAGGTCGTCTCGCTTGCAGCATCGTTGAACAACATTCATCGCTATGCGGATGACGTCTTATACAGTGAGAAAAGCTTGAGTGTCCTCGAAAGAATTAACTCGCGAGCGCAAACAAGTCGAAACAATTCTGTAGACGTGATTATAACACAGAGTGTCAAAATACAATTTGCTTTTAAGACCGGTTTTATGTGCGTCATCTTGTACGAAAATAACTGAGTATCAAGAATTCAGGAGAATGTAAAATTTATCTTTTGACACGAGTGACAATATCGATATAAAGCCATTTGGATGTTTCTTAGAAAGCCGAGTCACTCCATTAAAATTGATTAAACACACAGTTTTATATATATATAAAATATTGAACGAGATACGTTTTAGGCTAAAATTATTTTCCACAATTATTTGCCAGTACTATTTTCGTTTGCTCTACAAACTCGGCAAGTTTCGTTTGCCCCACAAACTCGACGGGTCTTATCGAAATCAAAGTGCAGAGAGGGCAAAATACACGGACATTTCCACGAAGAACGATTTTCGTACGTCCTACGACGTTCAGAATCGTTATTATCTCTGTTATCTTCACGTAGAAACGCGCACACTCTGCTTGTGTCATATCAGTACGGAAAAACACTAGATGCGAAAAAACTTAATAATCGACCTATCATCAACTTAATGTTGCGATTACAGACGCGACATGGCTCGATTATCTGATCGTCTCAGACCACGTGTGGACTGACGCTATCAGCTGACACTAAATTTACGGATGCGAGCAATTCCGGATGTCTGTATATCGGTCACACGTGTATAATGAATGATTCAGTCACAAGAAAAGGATTTGCACACTTTTGATCGAATGAAATCGCAGTGCTTCAGGGGTTGTCACAATTAAAAGCCATTGCTGATGGCTATATGCGCAATAATCGGTCATGACAGAAGCCGATGTATAGTATAGGATGTGACGATATAAATGTGAAAAGGAGAATGTATTTTAAAGTAAAATAATTATTATTTAAGCAATTTTTATATACATTTTGTAATGCATAAAATAACACGACATAGTGTGGCAAATGGACATCAGCAGTGGCTCTTATTTGAAGTGCTCTAACTTGAAGTGTTGCAACTTCATTTGATCAAGAGATGTGCAAACCATTTTGCAACCGATTATACAGTCGATTCTACGTGTGATTCACTCGTCTCGAACTTGAAAATACTGATATGGCAGCTATGAAATCATCGCTCTCCGTCGAGCGATATGAATAAATCGACAGCAGACCCGGTCTGTGGCTGACGCTCTGTATCAATATATAAGCCGAGTTTAGCGCGATCCGCTCTCTTTATCTCTCTCCCTCTTTAGACAATAATCTTACGCACGATATAGAAGAAAGAGAACTTATTTTAGCCAAAGTTAGCCGTAAGTGACGTTGGTGCAGCCGGATCTAAGTGAGCTTACACGGCTCACCGCTCCGCAGCTCGCGTTACTCGCTTGAGTTGGAAGCGGCGGCGTTCAGCGTCGGGTATAACGATCGTCGTCGATGCTGCGGAACGATACTCGTCGGATTATACTCAAGTTTGAATTCCATTCGACGAGTGAGCTCGCCCATTCGGCGAATCGCGGCATGTCGCCGTTCATCGCCATCGGCTTCAGTCGGCTCGGCCGTTTTGCAATTTGCATCAAGATTTCCGAGAAGACGTCCAAAGTCTCCGGGTGCGCGCTACGCCTGTGCCCCTTTAAAGGCTAAAACTACCACCGCGAGTCCGCCGCCGCCGCCGTCGCGATGTGGGTCACCGGCGCGGGGACGGCACGACGACGGCTTTCAGGTCGGGGAATATCGTCTCTCGCTCGCTCGAGCGCACGGTACACCCCGTGCATCGTGTGCTGACCACTTTGCGTCGTTAGCCGGACACGATAACTTTGTCAGCCGGCCGCGTTTAATAGTTAAAGCATCGCCGAAACATCTTCGATAATCCGCCAAAGTGCGGCAAAGTAAATCACGAAACGATGCTTACGATCGATATAACGGCATTAAGCGAAACGCGAGGCGCAAACAACGGCGAGAGACGGCGATCCCGAAGAAAAAAAAGGCGAAAAATCGACACGACCCTAATCCCCCAGCACATGTTGGCCGACGGTTGGCCGCTGGAGATTTGACATTGGCCCCAATGTTGAATGCTTCGTGCTGCTCGGGAGACCCGTTGAATAATCTAACTAAAATAAAAACGAATAATTCGATGTAGAAATTCCCTTGAGACCTCTGAGCCGTTAACACGCGTATCTGCGGATAGACACTGGAATTTCGCGGCCAGCGCATCCAAACGCGCTCTATCCATCTTTCGAACTCTTCAAGTGGGACATATTGCCCCGCGGCTGAGAGCGTGAAAGCCGATTTCCCCGCGTCTCTACCGTAAAATTAGGCAAGGCAGATTATCCCGGATCTTTGGGCAAGGCCCTTTTAATTGAATCGCGCACGACACCCCGTGGTAAGCGCTCCATATCGCGCCCTGACGATCGTTCCCGTTTCGCTGCCAAACTCGCCCTGCCTCGGCGACCGCGACCCGCGGCTGCGAACTCCTCGAAGCCGCAGCGGAAACCTGAGGAGAGCGATTCTCTCTCTTTTCTCTCTCCTCTCTCTCTCCTTTCTCTCTCTCTCTCTCTCTCTCTCTCTCTCTCTCTCTCTTTTTCTAACAATTAGATCGTGCTGTGTGAGTACATACCGATAAATTGTAGGCAGTGGATAAGAATCGTCGTCCTCCATACTGCTGTTTGTATTTGCGTTGTTGTTCGTATCATTTCCCGCTGTCGAGGTATTGCCAAGATTACACAGCATTAATCGCGACATTACTAACGTCGGTAAAACGTTTCAGTCTATCGGAACACTTCGAGGGGACGCGAAACAGGCCGATATCACGGTATGGATACCACGTACGAACTCAACAACGAGTACATACGTACTTGACTCTTAATGCGGCAACCATACCCGTTGAAACGTATTACTGAACTTTGGCAATTCTATCGTGTCTTACCGCGTAGTCTCCTCCGTTCCTTCGCTCGCTCTGTGCGCTTTCTCTTTGCTTTGATACTTTGGCGTGATTGGTGCGTAGTAAACGAGCATCGCAATCGTATCCCAAAACGTGTGTATGTACAGACTAATAGTAGAGATCGATCTAAGCGAGTCAGATCTGCATTTATGTGTTTTCTTTCCTTTTCTCTTTCTATCTCTCTCTTTCTCTCTTTCTTTCACTCTCTTTCCCTTATTGCACGTGTGTACGAGACGTGTAGGCACTAATATATATATAATTTTTGTATCTCCCTCCGCGTTATGAAATCACGAGCTTAGGCACCACTTTTGAAGAGCATAAACTTTTTTTTCACAGCTTCCGTGTAGAGTCGGGCACAAGTAGTCCGCGTGAACGTGCGCGCGACGATTAAAACGCAGCGTTTGTGGTTACACGTTGTGTCGGTATACGCGCTGGCTTATTATTTAGAGCGATACGCCTTCGCGCGCGAGAGGAAACTACGTGCTAGGAGAGGAATGGTCGATATGAAGCTAGATATGTGAATACGAATTCGCAGTAGCGCCGGCAATATTCGTGCCACGGGTTCTCTTATTACGATTTATTATTATATTACGGAGCGGAACGATGATCACGATCGCGCTACAGAGCGCGTGGGGGCTACAGTTTCGCGCTACGATCCATCATCGGTCACCCCGATCCGGCCGCCACGGTGTCACGAAGACCGTCCGCTGGTTGTGCCTGTTGTGCCCGCGTAGACTCCCGTAACGCGCGTTTCGCGGGTCACGTAACGAGCGCGACGACGAGAGACATTATCGGACAGCTGCTGCGAGACGGGTCTGAGCATAAGTGTGTATTTGCGAGATGATCGTCCGGCGCGGCCGCAATAACGAGTTTTCATAAAGGAACACACACAAATCCCAAACGAAACATCAGTAAAAATGGGGGAGGTCAGAGAGACGGCGAGTGTTGTGCTCCCTGCGCGGTAGGCAACACTGCACACACACTCGACACCCTGCGCGATGCCCACCTTTCCGCCCGGTGGAGCCGGAGGTGCGCGACGCAACCCCCGCGAGCCACCCTCGACGTAACCGCGGCGGCCGACTACGCACGCCCGTCCACTGCTGCGCGCGCACTCCACGACGCGTCGAGTCGCGCGAGACTCGGACTCGACGAAAGGCGCATGACGCGAGAGCCCGCACGACACCGCACGAATCCCAGTCGCTCGTCTTCGCCACCCCGCGGCTAGAAAGACCCGCAGAGGAAGCGTTATCATGCCGTACCGAGCGTCACCTGCGATAAGAGCGACCGGTCATCTCGTCTTCAACGGCCAGCAGATACGGCCAGATATCGACACGGCCGCCATTGTTACCTCGCGAATGGCCTTCTCAGTCATTCAGATATCGATGAGTCGAATCGATATCGCGCCGACGCGCCCGATTAGCAGGGTCGACATCGCGTCCCGATCGATTTTCGATATTGGCGGGACTGTATGGCGAACGATTCTCCGCGTTTGAAAGATGAACAGATGATGTTTTGACTGACAGAGACGCGTGTCGTCCTCGCGAGGTCGCTGCGGTATAACCGCGCTCCCGCGGATGACGCTGCAATAGCGCTCCATTTACCGTATTTTCGGCAATTAAGACGGTCATGCGGGACGCGCGAGTGGAATCTTAGAATACATTCTCCCGCGACTCGTGTGAGCTTGCTGTCGTAAACTCCGCCGCGAAAGAGCCGTGTTTGAGGGTGTTTGAAACGTGTGTGTAACCGCATTCGCGCGTGCTGCGCCCGGCACCCCTCTCTGTGTCGTTTCCACACACACGTGTATGCGCGCGCGCACACGTATTGCAGCCGCGCAAACTCACCGACCGCACAGCACACACAGGAATGTGGACGTACACACAAGCAAGTATAATCAGTGTAGGAAGAAGGGTTTTGTGAATCAACGGTCTCAACGGCAACGCCGCATTGCAGATCTACCGCGCTGACACGCAACTGACCCCTCACTACTATTATACCTAACTACACTCATAGTTAACGCACACATACGCCAATGCGGGCTCGACATGCACACCGACTGACACGAGGCGCGACGTCGTGTATAACGCACCGCGGGAAATAATAAATACTTCACGTCGCGCGCGCCGCGAGATGATTCGACAAACAAACAAGCGGCATACATAGGTCGCTGTCGCGAACAATTGATTTTGCGGGCACTCGAGGCTTACCCCTTTTTGGGAAACGGAAGGAGCGTGCGGCTCGAGCCGTGTCGCAATTATATGTGTTTCGCATACGTCATTGCATAAAGAATTCCCGTTCGCGTTTCGACAACGCCAGTCACGACGAACACGATCGACCGATCCACGATTCGAGGGCAATCGCGAGATGACGAGACGTTGCCGAGGGACGACGCGAGCCGGCAGGAAGATGGATTTCGAAGCAACGACGGCCGCGTCTTGGCCGTCGCACTCTTGCCATGCTGCTAACTCTACGAACGGCGACAGATTCAAGCTGATGGCACGTCACATCACTTTGACGCCCGCGTCGCTCGCAGGATCAGAACAGCTCAGTCCGCATCATCGGAGAGCCAAGCGGCATGGAATCGCATTACGTACCTTCGAGAACAGCGGACAATTGACGTGGCGCAAAATCCTTGCGGGGATTACGTTGAGCGCGTCACCAACGTCCCGCCCGACTCGAATCTTTTCATACATTGCGACGGAGTCTGCGAGGAGCAGCCAGACGCTGGCCCGCTGGCAAAGTCGGTCGTTGAATCCGTGCCAAGACTCGGGCTCTCAGGAATCCATGTGTACGAGGGGACACGCGTTTGTGTGAACTCGAAATAAAATCGCAGCCGATATCTGTGAGATGACCAGTGTTTTGCTGCTGCGAGTTGACCCACGTCCAATTTTCGCCCGGCTAAGTTGAGTCGCGGTAAAACAAAGGAGGGGAAAAAAAGGAGGAAGAAGGAACGGCAGTACTCTGGTACACGACAGGCGCATAAATCTCGTTCACATGGTCCGATATTAGCGTCTTTGCGGATATCGGATTTGCAAAGATATTTGTACGATAGCGTAATCGAAATAGCGAGCCAAAATTCACGGGTTATATTCTTGGACGACGATTTCTTTTTAACGATTAGCGACAGGAGGTCTTGGCTCGGAAAATTATTAAAATGCGATCTCAATGATGCAATCCTTCATCAAGAGTCGGTGAATATTTTCGAGAAAGAAGAAGAGAACTCCAATTCTACATGTTATAAATAAAATTAGTCTCTGAATTTGCCAGAGTTAGCTTCGTGCTACGACTTCAAATATGTTTTGCAAACTCTATTGATGCGCGCTGCATCGTCTCATCGAACTGAAGTCGCAAATTTGGCAAGACGGGATACTATTAGGGGAGAGAACTGTCGTTTGTAATAAGGAAACTGATGGATACAGTGAAGCAAAAGCATGTAAGACGAGTATGGACTGCCGCAAATAAATAGCTCGTGCATACAGGTCGACTCAAAAGTGACAAGTACGTTTCCGCGGCAATCCTTTCTCAACGAGTTTTCGTGACGGGCTTTACGAGAAATTTACGGAAAATTCCATTCGGGATCATGTTTGATCAGAAGTTCGCAATTCTCGACATCGAGCATATTAATAACCTTGAATTAAAGTCACGAAGAAGCAAAATCTTCCTTTGAATCGACCGGAACATTCTTTAACATTTATTCAGAGTTTTCAAATTCAGTTTGCGTGCAGAGAGCTCACTGTAAAAGTAGAGCTCTGCCCCTTTTCCCTTTTCTACGGAATCGCTATTTATATAACAAAATGTTTCTATTGTATTTTTGAAAAAGTCTCGGTTCCGGGGACACTGAATAATGCCGGTGTGTTTTAAAGATAGCGCTGGCACTGATGTGAAATATAGACCGGCTCCCCTTCTACGGCTTCGATTCTCTACGTAAATGCAAGTCTCTGGAGCATGTCGTAAAGTGTCGAATATATGTACGTGCGTGCACGGGAAACAAAACCGACATGTTGTTCATATAAACGCAAGATATAATTTCCGATGAAATATAAATACTAGTTTATAAATACAATCGATGGAAATGTCCTTCCATTATTCAATCGAGCGCTTCGTGTCGTAACAATACACAGCGTATCTCAGAAATCATGCGAATCGATACCTCTGCAATAATAACAGTCCGATGAAATATCATTACTCTTTTTCATATTTTAGACACAAACGATCTCAACAATCGAGTTTCACGACATGGTCACTCTTGATCACGCGCGATCGATTCCCGCGAAACAACGTAACTCGACGACAATTCCAGCGTAAAATTCAATGAACGCCTTCACCTCGCGAAAAGTATCGACGAAAAGCACCACCGAAATCGCGACTTTTGGGATACGCTGCGCGGCCGCAGTTTGTACACTCGCGGAGACTGGACAGGTGTATTTGTATCTTTATAGTCTGGCTGTATTGTTTTAATAACTTATTACAGTACTTTATTTTTAAATGTTAAGTTACGGTTTTATCTAGACACATTTTTACAGTCACAGATTTGGTGTGTGTGTGTGTGTGTGTGTGTGTCGCAATGTGAAGGTATGTCGCGGAGAAGTATCGCGCGCTCGACGGTTTTCGTTTGCTCGACGCTACGGCGGCGGCTCTGTGTTGCGTTTTCGTATATTAACATCGACGGCGGCGTTCAGGAGAGAACGCGACGTGAGGATGGGAACGGGAGCTTCCGCTGTTCCCTCGGCCGCGGCTTCCGGCGCGGATACACGAGCCGGGTGAATTCGTCGACGAATGTTCGCCCGAGCCCGTGCGGCCGCTCATTAACGGCGTTTTATTCCGTTCCACGGAAGAGCTTGCCGTGCGCTGTCGAGAGGATGACGCGACGCTTCGACGGATTCGTCGATCGGCGGCTCGGCTCCGCGAGTTGAACGCGGACGATAGCCGCCTCGCGGATTACAATCGATGACGTACACTCGCGTGGACACATTCTCGCGGTTACACACTGGCCGAGGTCTGCGATATGCTAACGGAACGGCATGTAAGCGGCAGTCTTTTTCGCGCTTTCGTACAATTAGACACAGTCGCAGAGCGCGCGCGCTTCCTCGATCCCTCCCGCCTTCTCGCTCGTTTCATTAGTCCCAAAACCGTTCGGACGAGCCGTACTACTTGGACGCACGCGTCTATAGAGATTCCCTTGGGGCGAATTTCCGATCGGAATAGCATGAGATCCGTGGCTCGTTACTGTGGCTAATCGTAAGTTGTTGATCCTTCGGCGCACGCAACGCGGCCGTAAGCACAATGATCGTACCTTAAGAAAGGGACAAGCATGGACAAACGGAGGAAAGGAGAAGAAGAAGAGAAAAGAGAGAGAGAGAGAGAGAGAGAGAGAGAGAGAGAGAGAGAGAAAGAGAAGGAAGAGAAAAAGAGACGAAAGACAAAATAGAACCGATATGAATAAAAACTGAGGGAAACACGATGGAAGAGTGTGGAAAGTATGGGTCAGACGTATGACGAGCGAAATGTATAATAATATTCAAAGATGTTGTGGACTCTCTCTCTCGAGCACGAGCTCGAAAAGGGAAGAATGCGAGCGTAGTAAAAAGAAACGGAATTCGTTCGATCGTCACGATCACGTCAGGTCCGGACATCAGAACGTACTCGGATAGTACGATGGAGTATCGTAAAGAACGAAGCGATAGCAATAGTCAATGAGATTACTATCCAGATAAAGATAAGAGAGTGAAGAACAGATCAAAATAAGAGAGCGGGTGGAATGGGGGGAAGGGGGCGAAGACGCTTTTGGATTTCCGGAGCAGTAAGTAAATACAAAATGCGTTACTCTCAGGTTCTAACGTGATAACATTGTGATATTAAAACTGTACACACGGTAGTGTCCTGTGTAGCTGAAATAAACACCCTTCGCTCGCGTGCGGGGTTCCCTCGTGAGTTCGGGGAGGAACGTTTCCGGCGCGGATTGCGAGTTGGGATACCCGCGCCGTTACATCATTGCGGCGGGCTATCGTGTCCGAGTTCTCGATCATTTCACCGTCCTTTGGCAGGTGGGTAGATTTACCATGAAGAATACGTTGAGCTCGATCAGCGACGCCAGTATGAGGAACACGGCGTACATGCACAGGCAGGCACGGCCTACTTTCCTATCGAGCTGGAACTTGTTGGAGGCGAACGCGATGTACAGCAGCATCAGCGTCGACAGTAACGATATCGCGCTGTATTCCAGCCCGCCGGAATTTATACTGATGTAGTGCCTCCCGGGCTGCGTGGGCGAAAAGGACGACTTGATCAGCCACGGTAATCCGAGGCACAGCAATATGTCGAACGTGTTCGATCCTATCGAATTACTGATGCCCATCGAACCGTGTCCTGGACAAAAGTAGAACGGTAGAAGGTACATACTGGCAGGTGTGGTGTGGGAGCGAAAAATAGCTCGCGACTTGTTTTTCCACGCCATTGTTTGTCTCGTGATTTTTCTCCCCCGAGCGTCGTTCGCGCAGCGACGATCGTTAATCACCCGTATCGTTCCAACACCGTGACGAAATTAATTTCCAACGTCTTCAACTTATCACTACGCGAATGAAACTCATGATGATCGCATACCTTGCTTCGCGACAATCACGCTCGACACGGCCTCGGGCACGCTGGTTCCCGCCGCGAGGAAAGTTATACCCATTACGGAATCCGGAATCTTGAGTGTGTCGCCTGGAACGTAAAAGCGAAATATGCGCGTCGCGCAGCTGCTTCAAGTCGGAGATTCTTGCATGCACAGCAAAATATTTTCTATCGTCGCATTCCTCCGCCGCGCCGCTCTTTAATGTCGAATCAGCGAGAGAATAGCGTAACATTGCTGAAAGGCGTTTCTTTTGGAAATAATGTTGTGCGCGAGCACCTGCTCGCGCGTTTCACCCGTCGACATGTGTCGCTTCGCCTCGTGTAGTCATGTCTCAAATTTAAAACACTCACCAATTATAGTGATCATCCACGCTACCACGTAACTGAGCGAGCCAATCCATATGATGCACATGAGAAACGTGACGGGAAACCAGTTCTTGAATCGGGGTTTCTCGCAATCGGGGATTGTACACATGAATATCAGATGAATGGGCCATGTTGTAACCCAAGCGGTCTTCCTTAACCACCCGGCACGCGCCGGCCACACCAACAGCTCATACTCGTAATCTGTCACAGAACGCGTTACGTAAATTTCAGATTCTATATATAATAGACAGAGATATCGCCTGAGATACTTCTTTATCTCTTGTACATTTTTCAATGGTCTCTCAAGGATTATCGCGTGAGAGAAATTTGCAGCACAAAGTTGGACCAGCAGCCTATGTGAACGTGCACTGAAGCGTGCAAACGATTCAGTTCTCTGATCTTGTCAAGTATATTGCTCTGGAAATTTCCATTCTCACGTGCTTAACCCATTTAATCGTTTCAATCAAGTGGAAGAAGTGCTTTCGATACAGTCTTGACCGATCAAGTGGCCTTCGCGACACATTATGCGTCGCTTTATGTGGATTCTATCGTTACATCGTTAGATCATCGCGGCTATCACTACCGATGATGATCGATAAGAATCAGATCGATTAGATTAAGCGCGATTATGAGAGAGAAAATGCGAGTCTTCGTTGTGACTACCAGTCGAGACTTTCGCGGCAAATTATATTTGATTTGACGATGAGAAGCGCGCAAACACTCACTAGGATCCGGATTTTCCTCCTGCGTCTTCGTCCCGCCGTTTTGCAGTGGCACATCGATGGTGGCTATTGGCTCAACGCGATCCCCGGGCGATTGTAATTTGTCCGGTCTCGGTAAGTGAATATCGCTAGAATCTATGAGAAACGCGCGTTATGCGCGCGCCTTACGGTAACGTGCCAGCGAATATAACGTTGTCGCAGAGTATCGGATTTATCAATATGTTGCAGCGGCGCTCGCCCGCAGTCCCGAGATTGCGGAACACCGAAATTTGCTTTTTTAGCCTTATAAATTTCACTGAGAATATTCTGGATTTTATGAACAAGTTTTCATAATCATGAAAAAGACCGTAACTTTCGACGCGTGTGTCGCTTTTAAACAGATACCGATTATGTAAATGCATCCTGAAGAGCATTAGTCAAAGAGCGCAGCCACATATTTACGAGTTTACTGCATTTATCTCCCTATCTCCTTTTCATGCGTATTTTCGAGGAAAGTTCGGTCGGGGATTAAATACCACAGAATCTCGATGCCTATCTCGCGCATTCGGCAGTCAACGGAGTTGCGGATGGAGTTGTGTAAATCGCGAGACGATAATCTCGCTCGAACGAACGTCGCTGCAAGCTCAACGAAAGCAAAGTTACGGCCTCACCTGTCGTAACTCGTCGACCGTCCGAGGATATCTGATCGTCGTTCGTACGGAATCTCGTACACCGCTGGAACGATTTATCCCAATACATCACGGCGATATAAACAATATACAAGAGCACCAACGTTAACGCTTCGTACCATTCCACCCGTTCGTCGTGTATAATGCATATTAAAATGGCAACCGTGACACCGTAAGCGAGACAGTCTCTACTAACGGGCCACCAATCTAGAGGCACCACCTGTGTACGAGAAAACATCGTTATGAGCTAGATTGCGGTACAGATGTTGAGTGAACGTTCTTGGATAGAAAATAATCCATTACTTTTGAGACTCCCGCATACTCACCGCGGTCATGTTGGATTGTGGCGTCAGAAGCGAGAAATTACACGCAGAAAATTCTTGCGTGCCATTCCCAAAGAAACAGAAACATTTTTGTATAAAAGAATACTCCTAGAACTACTTTTCTCTTTTAATAGTCAATAAATAGTCGTAAAATAAACGTGGCAAAATCAGAAAGGTAGTTTAAAAAGGGAGATTGCATGGAAAAAACAATTCCATCAGTGTGACTGAATTTTCTGCTATCTAGTAACCAGATGAAAAATTCGGTTGTAGGAACAGAAGGATTCCTGCAGGAGGTTCCTACTCAGCCCTCAATTGCTTTCAGTTACCTCACCCGAGTTTTAATGCGGTTGAACGTTCCAACGAATGTTTTCAGTCACAGTAAGAGAGATATTAATTCTCGTCAGCGAGGTTTTCGTCTGGTGCTCATTCAGTTACACGAACTGATATTCTTTTCCCGTGTGTACATCACGTTAATTCTACGGTCATTTATTGACTGTCAAGGGAGAAGGATAGTTTTCGGAGTATTTAACAGGTATACTCAAGCGATCTGAAGTGTTCTTTCGTACGAATATTTTTTTATGATCTGGAAATAGTGCGCAAGAATTTCGGACATACTTCTTTCGTTTTTGATGTCGTCAATCCAGAGTTCCCCAGCGAGTACCCAGGAGCCTTAAATGCTCTCGTGGGAGAAAAATTACGCAGACATGTACGTGAGAAAGCGAGAACAATGTTTTGCAAGTTTGTACAATGTGTTTTTTTTTCTTTTTTGTTTTCTTTGTTCTCTCTAATAATCGCGACGATGTAGGTAATACCAAAGTTGCACGACACAAGAGAATTTGCACGCCTTTCCAATTTCGCGTCTATTAAACTTCGCAAAACTACGAAACATTTGGCAACTCACCATTCCCGCACCGATACCGCAGCAGGCTGGAACAGCCAGGATGTTGAATACTGCGGAACCTACTATCGTCCCGACGCCAATGTCACCTTCCGTGATGAATGTTCCGATGGCATTCACGAATAATTCTGGGGCCGACGTCGCCGCCGCCATAAACGTTGCGCCGGCTACGTCTTTCGACATTGAGAGTGCTGAAACGTATAACGCCGAGTCAGTTTTAAATTATCTATACATGTATATTGTGCGTACACTAAACGATTCATCGATCGTTTTGCCATCTGGAATATTCTCCCTTCTTTCTAGCTTCAGAGTTTCTAGCTTCTCTAGCTTTTCAATGGAGCAACTCCATTGAAAAGAAAAAAGAAAGAATTAGATGCGGAAAGAATTCTTATGTGTAAGACACGCGTGTCCTTTTCCACAAATACTTCCGATGGCAACAAGCGTCCGATGATCAAATGGATTTATCTGCGTTTATCTAATTTTAGAGTCGAGCTAGCTAATTGTAACTTTCCTTTCAGAGTAACCGCTACACACTCCGTGTGGCTCGTTGTGCATTTGGTGCTAAATGCGGCCAATCTGATAGACGCGGTTCTCTTGTTTCACGCGAGCGAAACTCGCGTTGATCGGACGCGATCAACAATCTAAATATAGCGACGACGAAGATGACAGTGAAAATACCGCGAGAGGGATCGCGCGTTTGGAAAAAAATGTCGCGGGGTCAATTTCCGGATGAGAGACCATTACGGTAATTGCTGATGAGATGTGTCTGGCGCCCGCAGTGACGCAGATATGCTGCAGCATGGCATCGATTCGACGAGTCGAGCATGTCGCGTAACTCGACGGCCGCTCAAAATCAACATAACGTGGCTGAACGCGTCAATACGAATCGTCCCGATCGAACTCGATACTTATTAAATGTTTCCTCTGTTTCGAGCTGACATCGTGCTTGCAGGTTTCTATCTCCTTACCGCGATCATCTTAATCAATCAGAAGTGAAGAGACGTACGCGCAAAATTCTTTCTTACAAAATACGTCGAAATGAAAGATTTCGTCTATAGAATGACACTCGATGATCAATTGAGCAGATTTGTATAACATATGCGGAAACTTGCTTTTTTCACTCTGACAATCAATAAACAATCGCGCAATTAACAAGCGACGAAATCGTGAGAAAAGGTGAGCTACAAAGAAATGTCACGTTAATTTTACAGTAATTTATTAATCGTTAGAACGAAGCTTTCGAAATATTTCACAAATGTGTGCTCGATCGGACCAAAGGACCACTTTGTGGATATGTCCTCTGATTTCAGCGTATTTCGCAAAAAATTTCGGCCGTACACTTTCTTTCTTCTGACGTCATCGATCGAGAGTTCCGCGGTAAGGAGCCTAGCTTCGGTTAAAATTAAAAATAAAATGACTTCCTCCGCGGATCATTAGCGCAACCTGGTCTTGCCTCCGCACACGCACAAGTAGCGATGCGAAAAACGAGCAACGTAAAGTTCACGAGAGAAGTTCAGCGAAAAAAAAAAGAAAAGAAAAAAAAAGAACATACGCAACCCTTACCGTGACATATTTTTTCTACAGCAGGTACGAAGAATTTATCGCATACTACTGCTAAAGCGATAAATAAGTAAAGCGACACGATGACGTGTACGACAACGGCACCGCCTTGTCTCTGCTCCTCATCAAACAGGTCGTGTGGAAAGTCTTCTATAGCCGGTGGCGTACAATTTATACCTAAAACATAAAGCATCTTTTAGGAAAATCACACATACAGAGTCACACACAGTCGAACGGGAGACTGGCCGAGATCAGAGAAGTTTATTTTATGATACGAGTATACACGAAGTTGTCTTAGTTCTTTTATCAGGAAGGAATTTTTGTTGCCAATCCGAGCCGTATTCTAGAAAAAAGAGAGGGAGGGGAGAATTGGCCTCATTAAATATGTCTTTGTTATCTTTTTCGATATTACAGTGACCGATTATAATCGATAGGAAACGAAAAATTAGCCGCAGCGAGATTTAAGTCGAGAAACTTGAACGACATCTGGTTTTCTTGGAGATTGATTCTCTGACAAGAGCAACGAAGCTTTCGCTAAAGAGATTTTGTTCCGCGACTTGAATTTACTTCTATTTTTTTTCCATGGAGGAATCTTGCCGTTTGTACTACGACTTTCGCCACACCCTGTGTTTATTCGTGGCAACCACATAATACACCGATTCCGGATGTACCGCACCTACACCCACGCTTGTATCCGACGAAATGCATTTTTATCGTTATGCAACGCAAAGCACGATAGAAATCTGGTGGTGCGCACAAGCCGGACCTGCTGCGAGATACATTGCTGTTTATAATTTAGCACGACGAATAACATTTTGATGAGACGAGCCCGCGATGACGCTCGTGCGAAAAGAGAGCGACGCGATGCTGCAAAATTGAAAGAGATCTCGCGGCCTGAAAAGTTCTACTTTGGCGTACGCTGTATTATTTGCAAACTGTGTACTACGAAATAATAAACGTGATTCCACGTACACGCGTCTCGTTTAAAATATTTATTTTACTCCTCGCCCCCTTTCCCTTCTACCTTTCCCTTCCTACGTGGACCAACATTTTCGACAATTCGGTCTGTGTTCACAGAAAAAAGGAACATTCTTGATTCGAAAGTATTTTTATTTCTGGCATATTAATCTTAAAATGAGTTAAACAAAAATAAGTTACTTGAATCGATACATTTTATATAATTCAACAAAAAAAATATATTCTTATTATCCAGAAACATTTCATGAACGGAAAGCACAAAATATTGAGCTAGGAATATGATTTTAAATATCGAGGGAAGATATCATTATTAAAATAATCAGTACTTGTTGTATGAAACTATCATACAATATAAAATTACAAAGCAAATTGTAACATGGTCGAAATTCAAGATTCAAAACTTCTTTTAACAAAATTGCATGTCGTTGCTGATGTGTGAAACAATGATCGTCAATTTAGACTGAAGTGAATACTCGTTCTTTTTTCCGCGTAACTGCGTTGGCGCATCCGCACGAAATTCCGCGAAGACATCCCGCGGCACAATAGACGGCTACATGTTTGCTACTTTAATGTAATGCAGAGGCTTTTTCTCTCTCTCGCGCGACGCGCGAGACCGCTCATGGGTTAATACGATAAGAGAGCGGCGGGAAGAGCTTAAAGTTAACCATTATCTTTTTAGAGTCAGCACAGCTCGTTCTGGCGCTAAAAGGGAGCGGAGTCGTGACAAGGAGGTAGATCGACGATTACGAAATCGTATATTAGCACGTACGTTGACTCGTCGAATAGGAACATTCCCGCTGAAACGCTAAACGAGACACGAAATGTCACGCGTGTATGTACCGGGTATGCGGCCGTACACGTACACGACATGCGTCGATGTGCTGTCCAAATCGGATCGTGTGTGGTGGTAAGATAACGATACGCCAAGTAGGAAACGTCTCGTTACCGTGCGCCATTACTTCAATTTTATGGAACCCGTGTCGTGCCGAATTATTTGGCAAACAACTGGCCGAGTCGCGCGCACTACAAAGGTGTCTGTGTATATACATATATATATACATATATATATACATACATACATACATACATATATATATATATATATATATATATATATATATATATATATATACACACATGTGCGAAATACGATTTTGATCGCGCACACGCACCGCTCTCATCTGAAACCGTGGCGCTTGTTACACCAATTTTAGCGAGCGGACTTTCAAAGGCGTTCCACTATGGGACGTTTAGTGAACCGTCGAATCGGTCCTATGTGCCCGCTCCATTTTCGGACACGTCGACCTTGCAACGTTAATTACCGAGTCCTCTTTTGCGCGACGCACGCGCCCGAAAAATCGTATCGATTCCTCACGCCGCGCGCGATCGACTGTTCGAACATGCCTTCGGGAACGTCAGCGAGCTTTGAGCAGCGCTAACATCGAGTATTCGACGTTAGCACAGTCT